GAGCAGTAGCTTTAAATGAAAAGCTAAGAGGTGTCCAGCTACTCCCTGAGTTCAAACCCCCAGTATGAGGAGAGAAAACAAAGAGCTAGTCACTGGTGGCTCACGCCGGCAATCCAAACTGCTGAAGATCATGGTTCAAAGCCACCCTGGACAGGAAAGTCCATGAGACTCTTGTCTCCAATTAACCACCAAAAAGCTGGAAGTGGACCTGTGGCTCAAGTGATGGCGTGCCAGCCTTGAGTGGACAACGCTCAGGGACAAGGCCCAGGCCCTGAGTTCCAGCCCCAGGGCTGGTATAGCCAGTGAGTGAGCTTGAGGCTTCGTCCTCCCCCTCCTCCCCCCGCCCCAGCGGAGCCCCAGCAGAGCCTCAGCCTGAGCGTCCCAGCCTGAGAGGAAAGCAAGGGCCCAAGCCCCTCCCCTCCCACAAGACCCCTGGATTCCAGCCACAGACACGGAGGGAAAAGAACGTTGTCATGTGAAGCCCTTACATTCAGTGGTGATCTGCTATACAGCAGAAGGTAGTGCCGGTGGGCAGAGCATGGCTGGAGGGTGGCCTGGAGTGGGGTAAGGTACCGGAGGGGTCGGATGTCCAAAGAACGAGGTCTGAGGAGGGGAGGGCCGGCCCCTTGGGACGGCCAATCTGAGACCCGCTCTCCCCAAGCTGGGCTGGGTTGCCAGGGAGACCAGATTCCCAGCCCGGTTTCCAGGCTACTGGGCCTTCCTGCCGCACGTGGGCTGGGTTCGCCCTATCAGGATTTTTGCAAACAAGAATAACAATCACGCTCCTGATTAGCAGGAGAAAGGCCTGGCTCTAATGACTGAGCTGAGGGAAAGGGATGCTCAGGCCTGGCCCAGACCCCTCTGCCTGAGCCCTGGCGGGAAGCCGGCTCCCATCCTCCCCCAGCCCAAGCTGGCTCAAACATTGCCTGTTTCTAGGGACACACCAACAAGCACCCCGGAGTCAAGGACAGGACCTGCTCATGGCCAAGACTCTGTTTTCTGCTCAGAGTCTGGCCCATGACTGGAACTGGACACCCCCAGAGCTGCCTCCCAGAGGCGTATTTGTGTCAGAAACAGGGTCAGGGGTCAGGAACCGCCGGTTGCCAGGCCTCTGGAAACTCCAAGGCTAGACGGAAGCAGCGGGTTCGGCAGGCGGAGGGCTGAGGGGCCGCTGGCAACGCGGACTTCCTTGCTGTGCTTGCGCTGACGTTGTCAGAATCCCCGCACACTACCCCAGACTGCGCCCAGGAAGCTGCACAAAGATGGGCGTGCCAGGAGCTGTGAGGGAGCCTCGAGAGCCTGACGGGAGCCAGAAAGGGAGCAGAAGAGCTCGCGTGGCCATACACCACAGAAGCCATGGAACACCTGGAGCCAAGGCCAGAAGGGCTCCCTCCCCCCCCCCTCCATCCCCTCTGAGGAACGTGGCCCCAATGACACCTCAGCTTAAAACGCTGAGCCCCATCAAATACCTACTAACAACAAAAACCCCTCGCAGCCAGGGGCCGGTGGCTCCCATCTGTAACCCAGCTACTCAGAGATGATGTGAGGATTGTGGTTCGAAGCCAGCCCAGGCAGCGATGTCCATGAGACTCATGACCACTGTAAAGCTGGAAGTGGAGCTATGCTTCGAGTGGTAGAGTGCTAGCCTTCAGCACAAAAGCTCACCGACAGCATCCAGGCCCTTAGTTCAAGCTCCAGGACCCGCCCTGGGGGGTTGGGGGGGAGGTGGACAGGACACAAACCCTCGGGCTCCAGAATCATGATGTTGAAACTGCCAAGGGTGGTGGTTTTCTTCTTGCAGCCACAATAAGCTGACACCCCATCTCTGGCTCATCGTGCCCTGTGTGTCCTTGAAACGAAACACACTGCAACAATGAGAATCGTACAGTGCGTCTACGGCCTTACCACCCTGAACACGCCTAACCTTGTCTGATCATGGAGGCTGAGCGGGGCCAGGCTTGCTTAGAACGTAGACAGGACAATTACTCAACAAACACCCTCACGTCCAATTAGCACTTGCCATATTTGATTTACATTATCTTCCCATCCCCTGCTCCATTAGCCCATCCCATATTATTGATAGACTTCATACACACACACACACACACACACAGAGCTGTTCAGCTGTTCGGCTATTTCGAGGTAAACGCTGCCTCCCGTGAAATGCACGGATCCATGCCCATTCCATTTCTGACTGTCAAACCAAGGGTCACCCAGACCCTACCCCCAAGTTCCCTCCTGCCCCTTTCCAGTCAGTCCCACGTGAGGTGCAGGGTCCTCTTCCTGTGTGTCCCCACGGGGCCCAGCCTGCCCTCCCCTTGCTGAGAAGATGGTCGTGTGGATGGACACGGCATGCAGACCCTCTCTGTGGCACTGCGTTAACTCTGAAGCTGCCAGCTTGTACGATTCCTGCCCCAGCGTCCGAGTGTCTCCACGGGCCTCGTTCCCTTCCAGGGCAGTGGTATTCCAAGTCCAGAAGGCAGATGCAGGGGTGCTCGCTGCCAGCGCCCACACTGCTGGCCCTCGGCACCCCGGTGCTATGCGAACAGTTCGCTCAGACATTGTGGGCCGGCTGGCCGCCCTCACCTGGTGGAGAAGGGAGAGAGGATTCAGCCGAGAGCAGCCACCGCCCTGAGACAGGAGGCAGTGACCCAGGAAGACTGAGATCACTGTCTGTCTGTCTGTCTGTACTGGTACTGGGGCTTGAACTAAGGGCCTGGACAATATCCCTGAGCTTTTTTTGTTTAAGACTGGGCACTTTGGAACCACACGTCTACTTCTTGCTCTTGGGTGGTTAATTGGATAAAAGATTCTCATCAACTCTCCTACCTGGGCTGGCTTTGAGCCGCAAAGATCTCAGATCTCAGCCTCCTGAGTAGCTAGGATTGCAGGTGTGAGCCACCCAGGCCCCACTTAAACTTGCTTTCTAACAATCCACTTTCCTGGAAACTAGCCCATCCCTGTCCTGAGGAGACCTGCGTCACTCCCTGGACAGCTCAACCCCCCCAGGGCAGGACCCGGACACCTGCCATAGGCCCCACCTCTTGGAGGTCATGCCCCCCCCCACTGCCCACACAAAGGGCCAAACCACAGCCCCGCCTCAGCACCCTGGGTCGGTGCCTCCAGGTCTCTGCAGTTACCAAAGCTAGGAAACCACGTGGGTTGTGTGTATCTGTCTGTGTGTCTGTGTTTATGTGTATCTGTGTTTGTGTCTGTGTGTGTCTATTCTATGTATATGTGTGTCTGTGTCTGTATGTGTTCTATGTGTGTGTGTCTGTGTATATGTGTTTATGTGTGTCTGTCTGTGTGTATGTCTATGTGTATCTGTGTGTGTTTCTGTGTGTGTGTGTGTGACTGTGTGTCTGTGTCTGAGTGTGTGTCTGTGTGTGTATGACTGTGTGTGTGTGACTGTGTGTCTGTGTCTATGTGTGTGTCTGTGTGTGCCTATGTGTCTGTGTCTGGGTGTATGTGTCTGTGTGTCTGTGTGTGTGTATGTGTATGTGTGACTGTGTGTGTCTGGGTGTCTGTGTCTGAGTGTATGTGTGTCTGGGTGTCTATCTGGGTATATGTGTCTGGGTGTATGTCTGTGTGTGTGGCTGTGTGTGTGTCTGGGTGTGTCTGTGTCTGGGTGTCTGTGTCTGGGTGTATGTGTGTCTGGGTGTCTATCTGGGTGTATGTGTCTGGGTGTATGTCTGTCTGTCTGTGTGTGGCTGTGCCTGTGTGTGTGTCTGGGTGTCTGTGTCTGGGTGTCTGGGTGTATGTGTGTCTGGGTGTCTGGGTGTATGTGTTTGTGTGTATGTGTCTGTGTGTGTCTGGGTGTCTGTGTCTGGGTGTCTGTGTGTCTGGGTATATGTGGCTGTGTGTGTGTGTCTGTGGCTGTGTGTGTGTCTGGGTGTGTGTGTCTGGGTGTATGTGTGTCTGTCTGGGTGTATGTGTTTGTGTGCGTGTGTCTGTGGTTGTGTGTGTGTCTGGGTGTCTGTGTCTGGGTGTATGTGTGTCTGGGTGTCTGTCTGGGTGTATGTGTTTGTGTGTGTGTGTCTGTGGCTGTGTGTGTCTGGGTGTGTGTGTCTGGGTGTATGTGTGTCTGGGTGTCTGGGTGTATGTGTTTGTGTGTGTGTGTCTGTGGCTGTGTGTGTCTGTGTGTGTGTGGGTGTCTGTGCCTGGGTGTATGTGTGCCTGAGTGTATGTGTGTCTGGGTGTCTGGGTGTATGTGTTTGTGTGTATGTGTCTGTGTGTGTCTGGGAGTCTGTGTGTCTGGGTATATGTGGCTGTGGCTGTGTGTGTGTCTGGGTGTGTGTGTCTGGGTGTATGTGTTTGTGTGTGTGTGTCTGTGGTTGTGTGTGTGTCTGGGTGTCTGTGTCCGGGTGTATGTGTGTCTGGGTGTCTGTGTTTGTGTGTGTGTCTGTGGCTGTGTGTGTGTCTGGGTGTGTGTGTCTGGGTGTATGTGTGTCTGGGTGTCTGGGTGTATGTGTTTGTGTGTGTGTGTCTGTGGTTGTGTGTGTGTCTGTGTGTGTCTGGGTGTCTGTGTCTGGGTGTATGTGTGTCTGGGTGTCTGGGTGTATGTGTCTGTGTGTGTGTGTCTGTGGCTGTGTGTGTGTCTGTGTGAGGGTCCTTGGGCTTGAACTCCACCTGGGCACAGACTGTGAGCTCTTTTGCTCGAGGCTAGTGCTTTACCATTTGAGTCACAGCTCCACTTCCAGCTTCTTGATGGTTAATTGGAGGTACAGGCTCAGGGGCTCTGGGCCAAGGTGGAGATGAGTGAGGAGAGCTAGAGACCTCCTGAGTGTCTGGAGCGATGCTGGTAAACTTGGAAATCACCGAATGTGAGTTTCCCCGATGTCACTCCCTGCCTTCCCTCCGCCCTGATCCCTCCGGACCTTTAGAGCCAGCACAGCTGTGGGCAGCGGGGAGCCGGGTGGTGTCCTCCAGCAGGGCTGCAGGGGTCTGGGCGGAGCCACTGGCCTCCCAGGGCACGGCGGGTGCCTGGGTCTGCACCTCCTCAGAGCTTAGAGGCCTTGTCAGCCTCGCCAGAGACCAAGGCCGTGTGCCATCTGGCACAAAAGGAGCCAATCTGACATTAGGTGTTATTGAGAAGCGACCCCAACTGTGAACACAGAGCCCTGCCCCCCATCACCCATCCCTTCCAGTGGAGACCCTCCTATGGCACTGGGCACTGGGCACTGAGCACTGGGGGGGGGGGGGGGGCTCCAGCTAAGGTCCAGAGCTCCTCCCTGGTCTCAAGGGTCCAGCCACACAGCAGCTCCCAGAAGCTCCACTGAGCATGCACCTGCTCAGTTCTCAGCCTTGGGGGACCCCAGGGCCCTGAAGAGTGGGGCACCTCCCGCTCCTGGCAGATCCAGCCCCTCGGGATGCCCAAGCACTGCTGGGGGCCCATAGAGACTAGAAGCCTGGGCTTCCCGCCACCATGACCTCACCCAGCCTCCGGGCTCACTGATCCCGCCTGACCTCAGGGCCCCACACCCCGGTCACCTCCATACACCCCCATCCCTTCCTTCCTCCCCATCTCTCCACCAGGAATGCAGCCCTTACCTTGCGTTCTGAGGGGGACAGCAGAGCCCACAGGACTGTGCAGAGCGGTGAAGCCCAGCCTCCAGCCCCTGGATCCCCAAAGGATGGGCCTGGGAGAAGCAGAGCTGAGCATCTGCCGAGAGGAGACGCAGGGGTCTGGGCCCTGGAGGCAGGTCCCGCGGAGGGAGGGCCTGGGCCTGCAGCCTCTCTGCCTGGTGTGGGCAGCATGGGATCAGGAGGTCTGAGAAGAGCAGGAAAAGCCACCAAGAGCTAGGAGGGTGGCCAGAGTGAGGGAGTTCATGACCCTGGCAAGTCCTGGGGTGCACAGGACTGTAGGGCTCAGCCCTGGCCTCCCCTCCTCTCTCTCTGCCTCTTTCTGAGTATAGGTTCTTAGAAAAGGTGCTTGGCCTGGGAAAGACCACTCCTCATGCCCAGGGAGCCTTCCCCAGCCCGCCCAGGGGAGGCTCTGGACCCTGCTGGAGAGAAGGCGCTTTCCCTGCCGGAATGAGAGGCGAGCCGCAAGGAGAGGAGGGCGCCCGCGCGGGGAGCTGGGAGCCAGGCCGGCCGTCTCTCCCAGCTGCCCCGAGGCCCACTCTCACGGAGCAGACCAGACCCCTTCTCCAAATGCCGCCCTGCGCTTGCGCCCCAGCCGCCCCCCGGAGCCATTGCCCTGGAGCCTTAGAATGTCAGGATCCACACCACGTGTCCCCTGAGGCCACCACGGGGGTCAGGACAGAGCAGGGTCTGGGAGCCCAGCAGGACACCCCACAGGGTCCACAGCCCCTGCTCGGCCTGGTGCCAGCACTGCCTCATCCCCTGACCCTCCCCGCCCAGCCACCTGCTGCCCAGCCGGAGGGTGTGTGAGTAGCCAGGCAGATACAACCAGAAAGGAGCTCTGCACCCAGAAAGGGCACCACGACACCACATCGGCCCCCACGAGGGAGGCCCGAGGACCAGCCGTGGCCCCGGGACAGCCCCAGAGCTGGGGGTCAGGCAGGCCAGGCCCAGGGCACAGGGGGCTCCCACAGTGATGAGGGGGCACCCGGCCGTCCAGAGAGACCCAGGGGGAAGCTCCGGCTGCAAAGGAGCCGGCAAACCTGGGGACTCAGGGAGGCGTGCCCCTCCCCTGGGAGGACACCAGGGCACTGGCGGCGGGTGTGGGCCCCCAGCTGCGTAAGCGGCGGTGCCGTGGGGTGAAGGGGACTCCCCTCCCTGTGTGCGAGGCCATCAGAATTGAGGCCTGGGCCTGCGCGTGGCCATCAGCCCTGGTCTGGACACACGTCCACTTCTGCACGCGTGCCAGGCCAGACCCTGAAGCTTTTCCTGCGGGGCGGAGGGAACGGTGTGTCTGAGTGTGGAAGGTAGCGCGTGCTCTGAGTCCTGAGCCAGCACCTCCGTCAGGCCGCGGGTGTGGCCGGTGATGCCAGGTGCATCGTGACACTGCCCCCTAGAGCTGAGGAGCTGCCAGACCAAGTCTCACTTGTCCAAGGCAGAGGCTGCTCCCTGTCCCCAGTTCCACAGCGCTGCTCTGGGCCCAGACCCTGCTGTCCTGGTCAAGGGCCCTACAGGAAGCAGCTGGAGCCATGAAGTGGGCTCCGGGCCTGAGAAGGCGGGGCTGGCAGGAGGGGACCATAGCTGGGGACGCGACCTTGGCTTCCAGGACTGGGAGAGGCGGCAGGCAGGTACCCGGAGGCCTTGCAGAAAGACTGCTGAAGAGGACCTCGGGGGACACAGTGCACTGTGTGACTGAGGTCTCCAAGAAGTATTGTCCCAGAGGCCAGGGGCTGCCTTGACCCTCCGTAAGTCCTCACCCCAGGAGGGAGCCGAGGCCAGGCAACTTGCAGGCCCCGCTGCTGCGGACCTCACGCTGACCCGGGGCTCCGATCCAGCACCCCACTCCCCACTCTGCCTGTGGGGGAGGGGCTCCCTCCCCAAGGGCTTGGGCGTCAGTGTCCTCCAGGAGGGGGCTGGGGGCCCAGCTCTCAATGAACGGGCAGCCAGACGCTGGGCTGATGGCTTTCCCAGCCTTCCGCCAGGCAGAAGCTGGAGCCCGTCCCAGAAGGCTCCCCTCCCAGGACACAGGAGATGATGTGGGAGGGGGACAAACGGCCAGAGGACAAGGGGGAGGGCCAGGAAGGCCTGCGTGGGGAGAGGACTCGGGAGTGGGGATGGGTGGGGTGGGGGAGAAGCCACGTGAGCGCAGGCAAGAATAGCATCGGAGGCAGAGTGGACGGCAGGGGCCAAGGCAGAGGGAGCCAGGACAGCCCGAGGGGCAGCTGGACGCTCCTGGACAGCCCCACGCCCCATACACGCTCACGAGAAATGGGTTGCAGATAAAGGGGCTGCAGCCTCAGGCCCCTCTGCTCCCCGCTGGGCCCCCAGGGTGGGGCTGACTCCGCCCAGGGCCAGGCTCAGGCAAGCACTGCCACTGCCGGGCCAAGGCCTGGAAGCCCCGGACCAAGGCAGGACCAGGTGGCTGCTAAGGCGGGTGGCATCCACCTTCTACCCCTCCCCGGCCCAGGCACAGGGGGACAGGAAGTCACGAGGCTGATACAGCCATTTCCCCTTCCCCTCTGGCCCCAGGAGGTCCTGGAGGGAAATGGTCCGCCTGGTCTGGCGCCTACAGCTGGGGTCTGGTGTCGAGGCCCTTTGTTTGAGGCTGTGGCAGGGGCCACGGAAAGCCTCGGACGCCCTTCATCCACCTACCGCAGACCCAGAGCCCTAAAGGCAGACTCGCAGAGGGCAGGACAGCGCCCAGCAGGATGGAGGTGCTCGGGACTGTCCTTCTGACCCTCCTGCTGTGCCAGCAGCCAGGTTCGGGGACACGGGCCACTCTGGGGTGTCGGGGGAGGGGCACCCTGGCCCTCACGGGCCTCCAAGGACCCCCCAGCCGGGGGACCGGGCAGGGGCTCATGCGGACCTCCAAGGACCCCCCAGCCGGGGGACCGGGCAGGGGCTTTGGGGGAAGGAGGGGAAGAGCTGGCGTGCCCAAGCCGAGAGGAAGGTGGCCGGGTCAGCCCTGGGACCCCAACACTGTGGGCCCAGGAGCTCCCTCCTCCCCGGGCCTGAGGTTGGGCTGCCACAGCGTGGCAGTGCTCTGGAGGGGCAAGAAGGGTGGCGCAGACCCATGAAGCCCTGGCACCGGGCCCCGAGCATGTCCTCTGTACACGGCAGCCGAGTTTACAGGGCACAGGCTGGCACAGGAGGACGAGGAGGACGTGAAGTCGGAAGGTTACAGCTACGATGACGACGATGAGGAAGAGGAGGAAGACGAGACCAACATGATCTTCAGCAGCAAGGACAGAGGTACCCTCAACCCGGCCCCCCCCCCCCCCCCCCCGTCTTCCTCCTTTCTTGGCCCATCCCCCGCCCCCAGGGTCAAACAGGGGCCCAGGTCTGCCCCATCTTCAGCCTCCACCAGCTACTGCTGGCCCCCACCTACGGGCTCCTCAGCCCTGTTCCAGGCCCCACGGGACGCACCAGGCCCAGGGCCGGCACCCGCACCATGGATAGTGTTGCCATGAGTTAATTCAGGAGCAGAAGAGCTCAAAGGTTCGCCTGCTTGGTGCCCCATGCCCCGTCATATTCTGTCCTCCCAAAGGCCCATGGAGGAGAGGCGTGGGGAGAGGCTGATGGGTGTGGGGGTCCTGGGGCTGAGCTGGCTCCGCTGCCGCCGGCAGCGCCCCTGGAGTGCTACACTTGCTTGCTGCTGAAGGACAGGGAGCGCTGTCAGGAGACGAAGCGCTGCTCCAGCGGCCAGACCTTCTGTACCACCATGGTCTCCCACGGCAGAACCGGTGAGTGAGCACACGCAGCCCGGCATGGGTGCCGCACACCAGGCCGGGCATACCTGCCACCCACGCTCCTGACCCCCACACCTGCTCTCCACCCCCAGACTCGGGTTTCCTGACCACCTACTCCATGTGGTGCACGGACTCCTGCCGACCCCTCACCAAGACGGTGGAGGGGACCCAGATGAACCAGACCTGCTGCCAGTCCACGCTGTGCAACGCCCCGCCCTGGCAGAGGCCCCGCAGCGGGGCAGGCAGCCCCCAGGGTGGCCGTGCAGGTGGCCCTTGGGAAAATGGGCCTGGCAGTTCCCGGGGCAGTGGGGCACCAGGCTTCCCAAAAAGTATGGGCACAGCCCTCCTGCTCCCCCTCCTTGCCAGCCTTTGGACAGTGGGAGCCTAAGGGCCCTGCCACCCCTCCACCGGGGACCCCCTGTCCACGCCTCCCCTCCCCGTGATCGGCTCTGGAGAATAAACTTGGCGGTGTCTCACAGTCCAGCGCTGCCTCCTTGGCTGTCTCCCTCCTCAGTTTCCCCCTTTGGCTTCCTCGTGCGTCCTCTCTTCTCTGTTCACGAGCAGTAGGACAAGGGCCTGTGGGCCTCAGGTCCCCGCTCAGGCACCTGCGCCCCAGGACCTACAGCTCCCAGGGGCTACAGCACCCCAGCACTAGAGCCCTGCAGAGCTGTTCCTCCAGCTGCCACACAAGCCACGCCCTGTCCTGTCCAGGTGTTGGACACAGGCCTTTGAGGGGAGGGACTTAGGAGCGAAGCCCAGCAGGCTGCAGTAGCTGGGACTGAAGGAGGGAGCAGGGGGAGGGAGGAAGGGAGGGAGGGAGAAAGTAGGGGGAGGGAGGCCCTGGGCTGAGGTAGAACTTCTCATTCTGGGCCCAGGAATCAGTAGCTCCTCCCTGACCAGGATGTCAGGGAGGAGGCTGGAAGGTATGAGGGGCCGTGGGCGGGAGGAGCAGCTAGGAGCAGTGGCCCCTGGGACGCAGCTCTGAGAGGGTAAGACCTGGCTCCGAGTTCAAGGAGCCCCCACCGGGGAGGAGAGCGGCCTTGCCTGGACAGTACCCAGCGGTCAGATGCGGCCCCTGGGACCCAGATTGGGCTCTAACAACTCAGCTTTTAGAACTCAGAACCCTAGGACTCAGAACCCTAGTCCTTAACTGATGATAAAATTTAGGGCCCTCAAGAATGGAATTTGGAGGGGGGAGGAGAGCTGAAGAAGGGCTCCATTAGTAGAGACCTGCCTACTAAGTTCAAACCCCAGCACCACAAGAGAGGAGGAATCCTTTGGAGGGGTAAGATGTGAGACAAGGTCTTGCTCTTTTTTCTTTCTTTCTTTGTCAGTCCTGGAGCTTGAACTCAGGGCCTGGGCGCTGTCCCTGAGCTTCTTTTGCTCAAGGCTAGCACTCTACCACTTAAGCCACAGTGCCACTTCTAGCTTTTTCTGTTTATATGGTACTAAGGAATCAAATCCAGGGCTTCATGCATGCTAGGCGAGCACTGTACCACTGAGCCAACTTCCCAGCCTAGGTTTGGCTCTTGATGTAAGCAAGACCCAGAGTTCTGTCCTCAGCACTGAATGAATGAATGGAGTGGGAAAATAAATCAGGGCTAGGAAGGTGGCTCAGTGGTAGAGCGCTTGCCTTGTATGCATGAGGTCCTGGATTTGATTCCTCAGCACCACATAAGGAAAAAGAAAAAAAGCCGGAAGTGGTGCTGTGGCTCAAGTGGTAGAGCGCTAGCCTTGAGGTGAAGAGCCGAGGGAAAGCACCCAGGCCCAGAGATCAGGCCCCACGACCAGCATAAAAATAAATAAATAAATGCATCTAAAATGGCAGCTTTGTCTGGCTCCCTTAGCAAGAATTCTGGGCATTGCTGCCTCCACAGCTCAGCCATCCAGAAAGGAAGTTCACTTCCAGAAATGACCGGCAACGGTCTGGCTGCACTTTGGGCATGGGAAGGCATCTGGTGAAGGGTCATCACCTCAGTCAGACCCCTTACTGCCTGTCATGGAGAGCCAGGGGAGGGCACAGGGGCACCAGTCTGGTCCCAGGGCCTCAGGGGAAGAGGGCCTTGAAGGCTGAGACCCCCGCTGAGCTCTGGCAGAGGTGTGCGAGGCAGCCCCAGAGCCCAGGGTCCTGTGCACACCTGGCTTAAGCAGCAGCACCCAGGTCCTGTGTGCACATGAGAGCATCTCCACAGGCTCTGGAGCTGTCCCTGACCTCTGTCTTCCCAGCCTCTGTCCCTCCTGCCTCCTGCTCTGTCCCTGGCGTCCCAGCCTTCCTCCTACGGTGTACAGTTGAGCTCTCTGCAGCTGAGTGGCATGAGTCAGGGCCCCAGAAGCTGCTGCTCAGCCCTTGGGGCCCAGCACCAGGCCCCCACCAGGCCCAGTGCCAGCCCCCAGTCCTGGGCCTTGCTGTACTCCTCTAACACTGCCTCAGTGGAGCCCCGGTTTTCCTGATTGCTGTGGGGTGGCTGCTGGCCGGGCCCAGCATCAAGGCCCAGAGCTCTCCAGTCCTTCCCACACTGCTTCCAGGTCCTGGGGACCACTCCAGCTGGCACCTGAAGCTCCACTCCAGAACTTCTGCCGTGGGGTCTCCTGGCCCCTCCCCGGCATGCAAGTCCCTTTTTTTTTTTTTTGGGGGGGGGGTCCGGTCATGGGCCTGAACTCTGGGCCTGGGCATTGTCCCTCAGCTCTTCAGCTCAAGGCTAGCGCTCTACCACTTGAGCCATAGCACCACTTCCGGCTTTTTTCCTTTTTGCTTATGTGGTGCTGGGGAATCGAACCCAGGGCCTCATGCATGCAAGGCAAGCGCTCTACCACTGAGCCACCTTCCCAGCCCCTGCAAGTCCCTTAATAGTCTGGGATTCCTGCCTCTTCAGGAAAGGGCTGGGCTTGGTCCAAGCATGACCTTCCTGGATGCTTGGGGGACAGCTCTGTGCACCCCTGCATTCCAGTCCCCCCGGTAAGAGCACGAAACTGTTCCACCATGGCCCCCAGCAGACTCGAGTGGCCGGGGCCCTCGACCTGGGGTGGAAGGGGCCGAGTGGGCTGCTGTGAGCTGCCAGCACCAAGGCTGCTGTCGATTATCTGTCACTTCTGGTCTTGCCATGGGGCCGGGCACAGCGTGAGAATACCAGCTGGAGAGATGGGGCTCAGCTCCCACGCAGTCCAGCCCACGCGGGGTGCCGTGATAAGGGACAGCAGGAGAGGGAAGGTCAGCCTAGGAGCTCACCCAGCAACACACTGTAGCTCCTTATTATGGGGGACGCTGTGACCTGCTGGCGGATGACGGGGTGGCCCGGCCGAGGTCCAGGCAGTCAGGAGGGTGTCCCGTCAGCCAATAGCCCTTTTCCTTCTGCCCGGTCCACAGGATGCCTCCCAGGGCCAGGGACCCCCAACCTGCTAAAGAGAGCCCCAGGCTCCCGAGAGAGGGGCTAGCCTGCAGGACAGGAAGCAGCCATCCCACGGCGCCTCCTGCTCCCTGCCCTGGTTGGGGAGCCGGCAGAAGAGCAGGAACTTCCTGAGGAAGGAGACTCGTCATCCAAGGCCTCCAAGAGGCCTTGGGCGGAGGGAGGCTGGGACAGCCTGGTACTATTAGGGACAGACCTAGTGCCACCCACCACCACCCCCCACTGCCCCCAGCATGCAGGGTCACCAAAGACAGCCACTGTCAGGAACTCTCCAGGACCAGCAGCTTGGAGCCATGGCTGAGGACGCCTCCTCAGGCTGACCTATGCTGTGCATGTCAGAACCTGCCTGCTGAGAGGTGGGTAGGCACGCGGGCAGGCAGGGCAGAAGTTTCCAGATGGCAGGGAGTTCCCAGTGGCAGAGACGCGGAGGAGAAGCATGAGGCATGTGAGCAGAGCTTAGGGCTGCAGTCCCAAACCGGAAATCTCACACACAAGAGGAAGGGAAAGGTCCCAAGAGGATGACCGCTGCAAGATACAAGTCCCAGCTGTGAGGAGAGAAAGATAAGCCAAGGCCACACACCGTGGCCCACGCGGGGCAGAGGGTCCCGGCCTGCTGGGAACGGGCCCTGCTCTCATAGCCCCAAGCTAACCCACAGCTCGCCGACTGCCTCCCCCGACCCGTCTCCTACCACAGCCCGTCTACCGTCAGAAGAGGCACCAGAAATAAAGCTCTGAGGATGGGCAGACAAAATCACCAAGGAAAAAACTAGCCACCCTTCACCCTCCCAACTGGCCAAGAATAAAAACAAACACAAAAACAGCCACACCAAACAGTGCTGATGAGGATGGACGCAGGAACCCATCGGTCATTCACATGCTGCTGATGGAGAAAGGCACGTGCGCTGTATGTCTGGCTGACTCTCATAAAACACAGCACACCCCTGCCAGGTCCCAGCACCGCCACCCTGGGGCCTGGGGTGAAGAAGGCTGCAGGCACACCAAGACCTGCATGTGGTGCATAGCGGGACTTTTCTCTGTGATTGTCACAAACTGGAAACTAGGTGCAGTGGCTGAGATCAGGAAGATTGCAGCCCCGGGCCAACCAGACCCAAAACCCCCCAGCTCCACGTCAGTGAAAGAAGCTGAGTACAGAGGCACTCAAGAAACTACAAGAGGGGGCTGGGAAGGTGGCTCAGTGGTAGAGTGCTTGCCTTGCATGCCTCAGGCCTTGGGTTCGATTCCTCAGCACCACATAAGCAAAAAGAAAAAAGCTGGAAGTGGCGCTGTGGCTCAACTGGTAGAGCGCTAGCCTGGAGCTGAAGAGCTGAGGGACAGCGCCCAGGCCCAGAGTTCAGGCCCCACAACTGGACCCCCCTCCCCCAAAAAAAAAAACTAGAAAAAGCCAGGCGCCGGTGGCTCACGCCTGTAATCCTAGCTACTCAGGAGGCTGAGTTCTGAGGATCTTGGTTCAAAGCCAGCCCAGGCAGGAAAGTTGGTGAGACTCTTACTCCAATAAACTACTAGAAAACCAGAAGTGGCGCTGTGGCTCAAGCGGTAGAGCGCTCGCCTTGAGCTGAAGAGCTGAGGGACAGCGCCCAGGCCCAAAATTCAAGCCCAACGACCAACAACAAAAAAAAGGGCATGCTCTACCAGTGGCACACCGGGTGGTATCAGTTGTTTAGCATTTGACTGTCAAATAGAACAGACCCGCATCTGCCAGATACCTGGGATGCCCCTCCTGTGGGCAGGAGTCTGCAACATTGTACTGTGGTTGAGATGAGAAAACTAGGCAAAGCATACATCGCTCTTTAAAATGCATTCATTATTGCTGTAAAAGCAACATAGAGAGAGGTTACAGTTACATAAGTCAGGTAAAGAGTATACTTTTCTTTTTGGACTCAGGGCCTGGGTGCTGTCCATGAGCCCCGCTGTGCTCAAGGCTGGTGCTGTACTACTTGAGTCACTGTGCTGGCTTCTGCTGTTGTTCACGTGGTAGAGGAATTGCACCCAAGGCTCCACGTCCACGAGTGCTACCCAAGCATTCTACCATAAGCCACGTTCCCAGCCCAAGAGTATATTCTTTTCTTATTGTTGGTCATGGGGCTTGAACTCTGGGCCTGGGCACTGTCTCTGCGCTCTTCAGCTCAAGGCTAGCACTCTACCTCTTGAGCCACAGTGCCACTTCCAGTTTTCTGGTGGTTCACTGGAGATCAGTCTCACGGACTTTCCTGCCCAGGCTGGCTGTGAACTGTGATCAGATCTCAGCCTCCTGAGTAGCTAGGATTGTAATACCCGTGGAGCCCGGCTGGCCCGTGGCTAGGCCTGCTGGAGGGGGCGGGGCATCCGCAGGCCGGCCTCACCGCCCCACAGACCCTGCCACGGTTTGAGAGGCTGCCATAACCGCCCCACATCACCACCCCGTGGTGCTGGGCCCGCACCCCCGGAGGTGGGGGTGGGGCACGCCACCGAAAGGGGGCTCTCGTGCTACTAGAGGGGGTAGGGCCGAGCCCCACATGGCGAGCTGTCAGGAAGTGACTGGGCAGTGGCAGCTTGGGGGAAGAGCATGAATGGCAGTGGGGAAAAAGTCCGGAGGAGACTGAGTCCTGAGAGGGAAAAACCCGGGGTCAGGCGGTGCCAACAGAGCAGTAGGAGTCGGGGCAGGGATGGCAGCAGGGGGACAGTGGAGAGGGGAAGAGCGGAGAGTTGGAGGTTCGCAGACCGACTAATAACGGTCGGGGGTGGGCGCTGCGTACCGGAGACCAGGAGGCTTGGTGGTGGAGGCCGCACCGGCTTGGGGTGTGAGGACAAGGTAGTCACAGGCCCTTTCCGCTGTAAACTTCTTTTGTCCACCTGTGTCTGTGCCTGAAGGCATGAGCCGCCACCCGGCTCAGCTTCAAAAGGCTACAGAGGAGAGGCGGGCAGGCAGCCCTGGGGCGGGCAGGTGCCCCCCTCCCCCGCTCCCCCTGTCCGTGCCCCCCCACCCTCCCCCTGTCCGTGCCGCCCCACCCCCTGTCCGTGCCCCCCCCCCCCCCGCTCCCCCTGTCCGTGCCCCCCCCCCCCGCTCCCCCTGTCCGTGCCCCCCCCCCCCCCCCGCTCCCCCTGTCCGTGCCCCCCCCCCCGCTCCCCCTGTCCGTGCCCCCCCCACCCTCCCCCTGTCCGTGCCCCCCCCCCCGCTCCCCCTGTCCGTGCCCCCCCCCCCCCCGCTCCCCCTGTCCGTGCCCCCCCCACCCTCCCCCTGTCCGTGCCGCCCCACCCCGCTCCCCCTGTCCGTGCCGCCCCCTCCCCGCTCCCCCTGTCCGTGCCCCCCCGCCGCTCCCCCTGTCCGTGCCCCCCCCCCCCGCTCCCCCTGTCCGTGCCCCCCCCTGCTCCCCCGTCCGTGCCCCCCCCCCCCGCTCCCCCGTCCGTGCCCCCCCCCGCTCCCCCGTCCGTGCCCCCCCCCGCTCCCCCGTCCGTGCCCCCCGCTCCCCCGTCCGTGCCCCCCCCGCTCCCCCGTCCGTGCCCCCCCCGCTCCCCCGTCCGTGCCCCCCCACACCCCCTGTCCGTGCCCCCCCACACCCCCTGTCCGTGCCCCCCCCCCCGCTCCCCCTGTCCGCGCCCCCCCCCCCCCGCTCCCCCAGGGCTTCCTCACACCCAGGCTTCGGCCGAGGCCGGGAGCCCGACGCGGAGGGTCAGGCTCTGCAGGCCGCGCCCATTTGCCAGAAAGGGCCGGAGGGGTCCGTTTTCCGTGACTACTCCGGCAGGGCCGAGGCTGCGGAGGTCCGCCGCGGCGGAGGCACGGGCACGCGCGCCTGGAGGAGGCCCGGCCCGAGGAGCCGGAAAACGAGGCCCAGGTTTCAAGTCCCAGGAGGGAGGCGAGGGAGGTGACCGGGGGAGGGGGCCCCCGGGGCGGGCCCGGCCGCCGAGGGGCCCGCCGTGGCCCGCCGTGGCCCGCCGTGGCCCGCCGCCATCCTTCACGGCCCTCCGCGACCCGCCGCCCAGCGAAGGCCGGATGGAAGCGCAGCCCGCAGACGCCGAACTAGCAGCACCACCGAGAGGCCGGGCCGCGGGCCTGGAGCGGCACCGGAAGGAGCGTGCCCGGCGGCGTGGGCGGGGCCGGCGCGGGGCGGGGCGCGGCGCCGCACCACCGAGAGGCCGGGCCGCGGGCCTGGAGCGGCACCGGAAGGAGCGTGCCCGGCGGCGTGGGCGGGGCCGGCGCGGGGCGGGCCGGCGCGGGGCGGGGCGCGGCGCCGCTGCACCGAGAGGAGAGGACACGAGTCTACGGCGGCGGGGGAGGTCGCGGCTTCCAGTGGGCGCCGCCCGGCGCGGGAGCCGCGGAGGCCGCGGGCTCTCGCGCCCGCCCTGCCCTCGCCGAGCCCCGCAGGCGTCTGCGCCGCGGAGGGGGCGCTCGCCTCCACAGGTACCTTGTGCGTTCGCGCTCGGCTCCCGGCACGGCGGGTCCGGCCGGAGGAGGCCCTCCGAGCCGGGGGCCCGGGCGAGGGCCTGGGCGCGTGGCGCGGTCCCGGCGGTGCCAGGCCCGGGGCGGCGGGGCCGGGCCGCCCGCCAGCGGCCCGCTCTCTGACGGTGACTCCCAGCTTTGCGTGCGCGTGGCGGGCGGGCTCCGCCTCGGCGCCTGCCGCCGGGGTGGCGCGGAGGGGCGTGAGCCGGGGCCCTGGGTTGCAGACACGGCCGCCTGAGGGAGAGCGGCGCACGCGGCCAGGCGCTCCGGTGACCGGGCCCGGCGCACCGGGCCGGAAGGCCCCGCGGCACGGAGCCTGCCGGTGTCCGGCGCAGCGCTCTCACCGCCGGGGTCTGAGTTGATGCCTTCGCAGCCCCTGCCCTGGGCAGCTCAGCCCCCCCTCCCCACCGAGGCAGGAGACTGGGCAGCCCTGGTGTAGGGTTCTTGGGTGAGCCTCTGCCCCCGGCTGCGCAGCACTGCAGCCCCCGTGCCTGCCGCCCCCATGATCCTGAGAGCCGCCTTCCAGACCAGCTTCTGGTTGATTCCTCAGCCATGTTGGCCTGAAGCCAGATCAGGTTTACCTAAACATGCTCCTGTAGGATGGCTAGGCGCGGCTCCTGTGAGACAGCAAATCTGTTGTCATTTTACGGGAAAGATCCCCGTGTGGGAGAGAAGAGGGAAGGCCGAGCAGCCTCTCTCTAAGAATTGAACAGTTTGGACGCTAGGTGGCAGCCTCACTCCAACCTGACCGACCTAGAGCCACACAAGATGAATGCGGCTGCTTGGGACACCATACCTGGTACCTGGTAGCGGGCAACCATTGTCTGTTCCTGGGGGCTGCAAGGGAAAGGGTGCTGATGGGGGCAGGGGTGAGGGTTATATGCAGTTAAAAGGGCCTGAGGGTTTTCAAGACCTTATGAGAACTCCACTTATTAGCTATGAGAGGGGCAGTTAAAGGAAACTCAGAAATAATACAGTAAAGAAGTAGAATGTGCCAGCCACCGGCGGCTCACACCTGTAATCCCACCTACTCAGGAGGCTGAGATCTAAGGATTACGATTCGAAGCCAGCCTGGGCAGGAAAGTCTGTGAGTCTCCAATTGACCACCAGAAAACCAGAAGTGACACTGTGGCTCAAGTGGTAGAGCACTCGCCTTGAGCTGAAGAGCTGAGAGACAGCGCCCAGGCCCAGAGTTCAGGCCCCAAGACCGGACCCAAAAAAAAAAAAAAAAAAGTAGAGCATGTTCTCTCGTTGCAGTGCTGGGAGTTGAGCCCACAGCCTCTGAGCAAGATTATCTTGTAGTACAGGATTCCTAACAAATGGAACATGAACTATGCAGCTGCTTCTACAGCTCCCTGAGCCAGCCTTGTCACGTGCCTGTGGGAACTAGTTGTGTTGAGGGACTTCCGGAAAGGGAACATGCCTCCCCTTCTCCCGTCATAGCCCCCACGAGAGACCCTGCTATACAGGATAACTTTTAGACCACAGGAGCAGAAACCCAGTTGATGGTTACCTGTGCTTCCACCCTATATCCAGTCACCAGAGCAGGACCAAGTCTGCCATTGGCCCTGTGGGAGGCTGGTGAAGTGAGATACGTGGGTGTCAAATGCCTGGAATAGATGGTCGCAAAGTAATGGTTACTGTTTTAGCTTTTTAGTTACCCAACAAATAACTTCATGATCCAAGTGCCAGAGCTGTCACAAAACAGAGAGAGAGTACAAGAACAAGAAACCGCGCTCACTTAGGCATATAAGCAAGGTGAAAAGGCAGAGCAGGCCGAGGGAGAAGGTGTAGCGCTCTGAGGAGGGGCCGAGGAGACTGCTCTACAAGGCCGGAGTTGAGCCCTGTGCAGGCCTGTGGAAGTAGGAGGAATGCTGCTTGTGCTTTTGGAACCTGAAGCCAGCCAGGATGAGAAGGGGAGACACCCGGGGCAGGGCTGGGGCTGTCCAATGCGTGCCAGAATGAGACGGAGTCTTTGGCAGGGGGTGGTAGGATTTGCTGGCTGTGGGGAACGTGAGGGATTTCCCCAAGTTTCCCCCAGCTCAGAACTAAGCTGTGGGCAATACCGGTATACTCCATACTCCAGAACTTGCCAACCAGTCCCAGTGGAGGCCGATGGAGCAGAGGTCAGGAAGAGCAGAGAAAGGCCCTGTTGGGAGAATCCAGGAAGGGGTGACATTGGTGAAGACACACTACTCATAACCCGACTTAGGGAACTGTAATCTCTGTACAACTGCAAAGAAAGAAAGGAGGGAGGGAGGGAGGAGAACACAGCACACAAGAAGAGGAACTTCTGGCCAGCTGCTGAGTGACTGGAAACGGGTCGGGTCAGATGAATTGGGCTGTCCGGGTGGGAACGCGTGGAAGGGGGAGTGTAATCTGACACTCACGGTTGGTCTTCTGCAGCTCGGGAGGATGTTTGTGATCTGGGCTCACCGTCTGCCTTCCACAGCCCAGGAGGATGTGGCTCGTCACGTTGGTGCAGAGGTCCAGTGGCACAGGGCAAGTTGTTTCTGAGGAACTGAAGCACAGAGGGTGCAGAAGTTGCCGGCTCTGAACCCTCAACCCCTCCCTGGCCTCCGGAGACTTTCTCGGAGCAGGGATGGAAAAGCCCGCAGGCCGGAAGAAGACACAGGCCCCCAAAGAGGAGGCAGGTGTGCCGAAGGCCACTGCGAAAGGAGAGAGTGCTTCTAGGGGGAAAAGGTCCAAAAAGAGAGCAGCAGCGAGCCGGAAGCGGGGCAAGGAGGCGGTCCTGAGCCCCGAGGACGAGGCGCATCTCTTCGACGCCTTTGACGCCTCATTTAAAGATGACTTTGAGGGCGTCCCTGTGTTCGTTCCTTTTCAGAGGAAGAAGCCCTATGAGTGCGGCGAGTGCGGGCGCGTCTTTAAACACAAGACAGATCACATCCGCCACCAACGCGTGCACACCGGGGAGAAGCCCTTCAAGTGCGAGTCATGCGGGAAGGCCTTCCGCCACAGCTCCGATGTCACCAAGCACCAGCGGGTGCACACCGGCGAGAAGCCCTTCAAGTGCAGCCAGTGCGGGAAGGCCTTCAACTGCGGCTCCAACCTCCTGAAACACCAGAAGACGCACACGGGCGAGAAGCCCTACGAGTGCGAGGTGTGTGGGAAAGCCTTCGCCTACAGCTCCTGTCTCATCCGCCACCGCAGACGCCACCCGAGGAAGAAGCACTGAGCACACCATGCCACGGGCCCAGCTGCACGCGAGGCCCCAGAGCCTCTGCCATCAGACCCAGGAGCCCACGCCACCGCAGGGCAACCTCCAGCCACAGCCCTGTTCCGCGCTGCTCCAAGCCTCCAGGCTTGGCTGCAGGAACACTAACAGCTCTCTGGGGGACAGACTTGGACACAGAGCTCCCAGCAGAAGAGGCTCTACTGGCCAGGTCCATGCCTCCCCTTCTGAGGAATCCCCGAGCAGCCTGGCAGGAGCCAGGGCCTGAGCAGGGCAGGGGCCCTCTGGGGACAAGACCCCCTCTCTCCCACAGCTGGCCTCAGTGACACGATGTAGCTTCCGTCTTTGTGGACTGACGCAGGAGTTCCCCAGGTCAGCCCTGTCCTGGAAACCAGGCCACACTGTGTGCCCTGTGTCCAGCCAGTGCTCCCCAGGGCAGGGCATTCTTGCTGACCTCTCCCTGTGCAGGTATCCTCGGGGGCCCGCCGCAGCTGGCTGGCCTCGCACCGTCCGAGGGGAGAAGCCTTGTGACCCAGCAGTGGAGAGCTGCTGGGGCGGTGCAGAGGCAGGTGAGAGACACGTGTGTCAGGTACACTCAGGATGGGGCCGCGCTTTGCTGGGATGTTTGAAGCCTGAATGAAACTGTCCGCCAGATGGCAGGGCAGGATCGGTGCCTTGTGCCCTGCAGCCTCCTGGCCCTGGCTTCATGCTGGTAGCCTGCCCTCAAATACTTACTGAGTATTAAAAAAAGTGATAGCAAGAGGCACGTGTGTGCTGAGTGAGCCGCAGGCAGAGTCTGCAAAGGCCACAGTATTCCTGGCTGTGCCCTGTGATCAGCTCGGCGGTTGCCCCGCCTCCTATATGCCAGCAGTTAAAGTCCTGGCCTGGAGGTTGCCAGGAGCCCTGGAATAGACTTGAGCTGCGGCGTGGCAGGAAGCCTCTGAGAGTGCGGGCTTGAACACGCAGGTCTGTGATGGTGCCAGCACCCACACGCCCTCGGGGTGCCCACACTGGGTTTGGTTTGAGTTACTCTGGGATTGTAATCACTCTTTCCCCTGGGGGGCCTTGCTGTCGTCTAGGGCACAGCGTTCTGTTAACTAGGAAGGGGCAGCCCCAGCCGCTGAGGCTGCTTCCCGTGTAGGTATCAGTGAGGATGCGAGCACTGGGCCCTGCCGGAGAGCCACACAGACACCCAGGCCCATAGAACAAAGAAAGGCTTATTGCCAGCAAGACCCTCCTCACGTGGGAGAAGAAGCCCAGTGAGTGTCTGAGCTGACCTTCGTAACCTGAGGGGCTTGGAGGCTGGGACTTCATCATGGCGGGTGAGGATTGTGGCAGCTGCCCAAGTAGTAGATAAGGGGCTGCAGCTGCCCAGACAGAAGGTCCTGTTACCTTGTAACTGCCCCAATGGAGAGTCATCTCAAGGTAAAGGGGGAGGAGGCTGATTACTTACAGCGCCACATGGGCCTGGTGCTGTCTGGGAACGGAGCCTATTGGACCCACAGTGACAACTTCTCCACCCTTAGGACCCCAGCTGCTGAGGGCCATGCTGCCGCACGCCTGCCCCCAGCTTGGGCTGCGTGGACACCAGAGGCAGTGCCAGATAGCAGGGCTGCACCTCTGCCAGCAGCAGGAAGGTATGTTCTTCCTTCTGTTTTGTTTTTGTTTGCTTGGGTTTGGCTTTGTTTTAGGGGTTTTGGGGTGTTTGGTTTGGTTTTGTGGTACTACCGATAAAGCTCAGGGCCTCAGGTTATCTTAGCAGAGTTCCACAAAACTACAGGCCCAGCCCTGGGTTCTTAGGCTTTTAGGCTTGCAGATTCTCCTGCAGAGATATATCTTTTTTTTTTTTTTTTGGTCAGTCATGGGGCTTGAACTCGGCCTGGGCACTGTCCCTCAGCTCTTCAGCTCAAGGCGAGTGCTCTACTGCTTGAGCCACAGTGCCACTTTTGGTTTTCTGGTGGTTTGTTGGAGATGAGTCTCACGGACTTCCTGCTGGGGCTGGCTTTGAACCCTGATCCTCAGATCTCAGCCTCCTGAGTAGCTAGGATTACAGGCGTGAGCCACCAATGCCCCGCATATTTTGTTTCTTTTGTGCTGGTACTAGGTCTTGAACTCAGAGTTAGACACTGTCCCTTAGCTGGTGCTCTGCCACTTGAACCACAGATCTACTTCTAGCATTTTGCTGATTAAATGGAGATAAGAGTCTTGTGGATTTAACTGCCTAGGCAGGCTTCAAACCGCAATCCTCAGATCTCAGCCTCCTGAGTAGCTAGGATTACAAGTGTGAGCCAGTAGCGCCCAGCAGAGAAGAGACATGGTTTAACAGGATATCCTTGCTTCCTGGGGAGGAAGCAGGTGATAGAGAGGACAGGCCTTCAGAGCTGGAAGACACATTGCTGACTGCCTTAGGCCTCAGTTTCCTACTGGCAGTGCTTGACCCCACTAGATTGCTGAGAACCTGAGATTCCTGGGTGGGTGAAGGTAAAGTATGCTGCAGGCTAATGCCGTGGTTTCACAGTACGACCTTGTGCTATGTCAGCGTCCGAGTGCGACCAGATGGTCCTGCTCATACTGCAGGGCGCTGTCACCCAACACCCTGGACACTACTCCCAGCAAAAACCAGCACGGGAAACAGTTTAAGAAGTACATACTGCTGGGCGCTGGTGGCTCACGCCTGTAATCCTAGCTACTCAGGCGGCTGAGATCTGAGAATCACAGTTCAAAGCCATCCCAGGCAGGAAAGTCTGTGTTACTCTTATCTCCAATAAACCACTAGAAAACCAGAAGTGGTGCTGTGGCTCAAGTGGTAGAGCGCTCGCCTTGAGCTGAAGAGTACAAGGACAGCGCCCAAGCCCAGAGTTCAGGCCCCACGACTGACCAAAAAAAAAGTAGTAGTACATACTTCATGGAAAAAAAGATGCCCAAGCAGACTGAGTCTAGTCTGCATCCTCTTTACCTGTCCTTTGGCACTAGCAGATGGGTTGAATACCCATTGTACTGAGGTCTCCATCATGATGCCCAAACACCAAGGATAGACCTATCTTTTGGGGGGGTTTGAGCTCATGACTTCCTGCTTGCTCAGCTTGTTTGTTCAGTTGGCACTCCCACTTGAACCATACCTCCAGACCAGCTTTTTTTGCTAGTTATTTGGGAGATGGAATCTCACTGTTTTGTCTTCCCAGGTGACTTTAAAACTCAATCCTCAGGGCTGGGGGTTTAGCCAAGCGGAAGGGCGCCCGCCTGGCATGCGCAAGGCCCTGGGTTCGGTCCTCAGCCCTGGAAAAAAATAAAAAATAAAACTAAAATAAAACTCAATCCTCAGATCTGAGCCTCCAGAATAGCTAGGGTTACAGGCACGAACCACTGCCACCTGGCTTTAAGAACAGTTTATAAAAAGGTCCCATTATTTTAGGAACAGAAATGTACAATATATGTAGATATTTTTTAATTTTCCTCATAGACATTAAGTGTCTGCATAGTGAGGAAAGTGTGTCACATCACTGATTAAAAAGTCCTCGGTTATACAGATGTCCTTCACAGATAACAGAATCGCTGCACATCTTCAAATCCCACTGAAGTCTCGTGGATCATAAACTCACCCACTGCCGGGCAGTGTATAAGGTGAGAAACTTGGTAAACCAATGAGCTCCTAGGAAACACCAGTAGAATGCGAACCATAGGCAGCAGTGTGGTGGTAGAACAGCCTGGGGCTGATGCTGGGAGCCCTGCTCTCTCCTGAGGTTTTCTTGGCCTCTCCTTCCCACTGCACCTTTCCTGTAAAGGACGAGGCTCAGGCAGGAAGCTCATCAAGGCGGTTTCCAGGCCTCATGCCCCCACCCAGGCCATACTGGGGAGGAGGCCCAGATTTACCCCAACCCTGAGCTCCCACACTGCCTCCAGGGCCTGTTTCTCACGAGACAACAAACTTCCCCATTTGCCTGCTTTGGAGAAAAGGTGCTGGCTCTCTCTGAGAGTTGAGAACTAGCCTTGTTGATGACTGTTACCTCCTTATTGACTGTTACCTCCTTGTTGACTGTTACTTCCTTATTGACTGTTACCTCCTTGTTGATGACTGTTACCTACTTATTGACTGTTACCTCCTTATTGACTGTTACCTCCTTCTTGATGACTGTTACCTCCTTGTTGACTGTTATCTCCTCATTGACTGTTACATCCTTGTTGATGACTGTTACCTCCTTATTGACTGTTACCTCCTTGTTGATGACTGTTACCTCCTTGTTGACTGTTACCTCCTTGTTGATGACTGTTACCTCCTTGTTGATGACTGTTACCTCCTTGTTGACTGTTACCTCCTTGTTGACTGTTACCTCCTTGTTGATGACTGTTACCTCCTTGTTCATGACTGTTACCTCCTTGTTGATGACTGTTACCTCCTTGTTGATTGTTACCTCCTTGTTGTTGACTGTTACCTCCTTGTTGACGACTGTTACCTCCTTGTTGACAACTGTTACCTCCTTGTTGACGACTGTTACCTCCTTGTTGATGACTGTTACCTCCTTGTTGACGACTGTTACCTCCTTGTTGATGACTGTTACCTCCTTGTTGACTGTTATCTCCTCGTTGACTGTTACCTCCTCGTTGACTGTTACCTCCTTGTTGACGACTGTTACCTCCTTGTTGATGACTGTTACCTCCTTGTTGATGACTGTTACCTCCTTGTTGATGACTGTTACCTCCTTGTTGACTGTTACCTCCTTGTTGACGACTGTTACCTCCTTGTTGACTGTTACCTCCTTGTTGACTGTTACCTCCTTGTTGACGACTGTTACCTCCTTGTTGTTGACTGTTACCTCCTTGTTGATGACTGTTACCTCCTTGTTGACTGTTACCTCCTTGTTGACTGTTACCTCCTTGTTGACGACTGTTACCTCCTTGTTGACGACTGTTACCTCCTTGTTGATGACTGTTACCTCCTTGTTGATGACTGTTACCTCCTTGTTGACGACTGTTACCTCCTTGTTGACTGTTACCTCCTGTTGCCAGTCCTCTTCCTGCTCAGAGGAATTCACATTCAGAAAAATGACCAGATCACAGACAATTGCTAAATAGCTCTTCTTTCTGTTAGAAAGGCTATTCTTCACCAGATCACAAAGGAAAACAATCGTGATTTTAATCATATTAAAATGTGGGTAGCCACCAGGTGCCCGTGGCCCACACCTGTAATCCTAGCTATTCAGGAGACTGAGCTCTGAGGATCACAGTTTGAAGCCAGACCAGGTAGGAAAGTCCAAACGACATTTATCTCCAATTAACCACCAGAAAACTGAAAGTGGAGCTATGGCTCAAGGTGGTAAAGCATTAGCCTTGAGAAAAATCACCAACTAAGAAACCCTCAGAGACAGTGCCCAAACCCTGAGTTCAAACCCCATGACTAATGACAATAACAACAAAAATGTGGATAGCCAAGCTGGGTGCTTGTGTCTTTTACTAGAATCCTAACTAATCGGGAGATTGAGATCTGAGATCTCCCTTTGAAGCCACCCAGAGCAAATAACTCCCAAGAGATCATTATTTCCAATTAACCAGTAAAAAGCTGAAAATGGAGTCATGGCCCAAGTGGTAGAGTACCAGCCATGAGCTTTTTAGAAAAAGCCCAGCCAGAGCATGAGGCCCTGAGTTGAATGAAGCCCCAGGAATGGCACACACATACACATATACACGCGCGCACACATGCACAGACACACACAGATGGTCAGTAGGAGATGATGCTACAACCCAGAGCTGGCTGTGTCAGTATTGCATGCTTTGGGGTCATGAAATTGCTTCACCTAACTTGTAGATAAGAAGCTGCAGACCCCAGACCTTCTGGCAGCTGTAAAGGCCATGGACGTAATAATTCTGGCAGTAGAGTGTCCGCAGATAGGGGTGACTCCAGCTCCAGGCCTGGCCTCCTAGAAGGTCTCAGAGATGGCAGAGGCACACGTGGGAGGAGAGAGCCCTATCCCTACTCAAGTTACCAATTGGAGACTTTCATCATTGTGTCCAGATACTTACCCAGTAGCCAGCTACTGTAGCAAGTGGCTATCATTCCCAATCTACAGACTCTGAAGACTCCAAACAGAAAGATGAGCCAAAGTCAGGCATTTTACACATTAAAGTGTGAATGGCTTATAAGTATATGGAAAGATGCTTAATCTCCATTATTGAGTCAATAGAAAAAAGATGAGGTATAAGCTGGGCACTGGTGGCTCACACTGTAATCCTAGCCATTCAGGAGGCTGAGATCTTAGGCTGCCTGTTTAAAGCCAACCTCGGGCAGGAAAGGCCATGAGACTTATCTCCAATTAAGCACCGAAAAGCCAGAAGTGAACTATCAGCATCCAGGGCCTCAGTTTAAGCCTCAGTACCAGTACCAAAAAAAAAAAAGGTACAAGCCAGGTGCCAGTGCCAGTGCCTCATGCCTGTAATCCTACCTACTCAGGCAGCAGAGATATGAGGACTGCAGTTCTGAGCCAGCCTGGACAGAAAAGTCCCAGACACTACTTCAAGTTAACTAGCAAAATGCTATACTGGAGGTGTGGTTCAAGTGATAGGATGGCAGCTGTGAACAGAAAAGCAAAAAGAGAGCAAAAGCCCTGAGTTCAAACCCAGTACCATCACTAAAAAATGAGCCCGGCAGGGGCTGGGAAGGTGGCTCAGTGTTAGAGCGCATGCCTTGCATGCCAGAGGCCCTGGGTTCGATTCCTCAGCACTACATAAGAAAAAAGAAAAAAGCCGGAAGTGGTGCTGTGGCTCAAGTGGTAGAGTGCTAGCCTTGAGCTGAAGAGCTGAGGGACAGTGCCCAGGCCCAGAGTTCAGGCCCCATGACCGGACCCAAAAAAAAAAAAAAAAATGAGCCAGGCACCAGTGGCTCACACCTATAATTTTAGCTACTCAGGAGGCTGAGATCTTAGAATCAAGGTTCAAAGCCAGCCCAGGCAGGAAAGTCCATAAGACTATCTCCAACTAACCACCAGAAAACCGGAAGTGGTGCTGTGGTTCAAAGTGGTAGAGCGCTAGCCTTGAGCTAAAGAGCTCAGGGACAGCACCCAGGCCCAGAGTTCAAGTTCTACAACCAACAAAAAATAAAAGTAAGTGAATAAAAATGAGATGCAACTTTTTATCGAAGAATGTGGTGAAATGTGCACATCTAATCATTCTATGCAGGGAGGAGCCTCAGACCCGTGTCCACACTGTTCCAGGGTCTTGTGGTGAACGCCCTCTGCAAGTTGAAGGTTTGCATTCCCTACTGCACCACACACTTCACCCCAGAGAAACGTGTGCATCCACCCAGGGGCCCTTAGGGTGCAGCGTGCTGCTGTGTCAGAGGGCTGGAGGGGCGTGTCCGTCCGCCACAGTGAGCCCCAGCCTGTGCAGAGGGGAGACAGCACATGGGACAGCCCACTGAGCAGAAAGCCTGAGTTAAGTTCAAACCTAGCAGAACTGGGCATAACTGAGTTGGGCTGTGTCCCTCGTGCCGTGCAGGACGGGTTGGCAGTGTCAGATCTGCTGCTTCACCCAGTCAACGAGGCTGCACCACCCCAAGGTTTCAGAAGTAGCAAGTGCACCCCCCACACGCACGCTCGTGCATGCGTGTGTGCGTGCGCGCTCTCACAGCAACCAAATCTGGGCCCACTGTGGGGGTCCACAGCTGAGGCCCCAGCCCTGCCCTCAGGCCTTCAGCCAGGCTCACCAGCAGGACCAGCTGCACGTGAGCCGGCCTAGCTGCTTATCCCAGCCAAGAAACAGGAGTAACGACGCTTCCTCGGTTACTCAAGGCTGTTTCTCATCATTTCCAGGCTGCTAACGCAGATCACGCCAACAGAAGCCTTTGAGGAGAAAGGAGCTCCACATGGACACAGAGCCCAGTGGGGCCAGCCCAGCTGGGGCTCTTGTACCCCTAGAGAGTGGCAGAGAGGCCTTGCCCAGAGCTGCTTTGCACAGGAGAACCACGCTGCTGCAGGTGATCTGTTTCCATCCTCGAGTGCCAAGAGGACCCTATTGGGCAGCTTCTCAAAGTGGCCATCAGTCCTCCCTGTCAGCTGCTACCCACTGGAGAGGCCCCTGCCCTGACTGCCTCATCAAGGCCTTCAGTGGACCACCTGGGTGTTCAGAACCTTCTGGACATCTGAGCAGCATCCCAGGGGAAAATCTGAGACCCCCCCAAGCATCAGCGTTCTCATAGCAGGAAAGTATTCAGCAAAAGCCAGGGCCTTGGGAGTACAAGGTGTCGAGGTACTGCCCTCCCCCACCACCGTGTCCAGCATCACTGCCCACCGGGGCCTCGACCTACAGGAAGACAACCACGAGGCTGCAGCCAGGCCTCAACGCCGACCACAGACGTGGTCGTGCATGTCCAGTGAGCACTCTGGGCTGTGCCCTCTCTGTCCCCACACTGGGTGGGATGTGGAGGCCCAGCAGGACTGGGAAGGACCTGGGCTGGGCCCCTCTCTTCTGTGCAGGGGCAGGTGGGGCTGACTGGCTGGCCTGTTCCACCCCCATTTCTGACAAGCTGTGGCGTCAGACTGTGCCTGGACTTCATTCCTAGCAACTTGGGCCTGCCCCAGTTTGGGCACCAACAGGTAGTAGTTGCTGAGCGAGGAGCTGAGCCGGTAGACGCTGCAGAGGAAGGTGAGAGGCGGTGTTCAGGGCGGGCCAGGCTCCAGGCTGTGCCACACTTGGCTGCAGGCCAGTACGCAGCTCCACGCCTCTGCCTTTGGCCTCCAGAGCTTGGAATTTGCGTTCTGGTTCCTCCTCAGAGCCCTGCAGACAAAACTCGCGAGACTCCTGGCATGAGGTTGCTGCCCTGCAGCCTGCAGGGTCCTGGCACCTTTCCACACTGTACCTCAGCCACACAGACGAGCTGGTGTCTCAGTGCCCATGCTGCTTCCATGTGTTTGGCTCCTGGGGCAGGGACACCTAGCGTGTCCAAATGCCCAGGCCATGCTTCCTGCCCTTGTGCCAAATAGCAGTGACTGCTGTGTCCTGTGCACCCCCAAATCAGCCACAACCTTGGCTTCGTGTTGTGACAGATACTGTCTTGTCCAGTGTTTCTTGTTGTAGCCTCAGCTCCTTACACACTGTGCGCACTGGGGTGGGCCTTGTGTTTTCTGCTCATGTGCTTACTGCCCCTGACAGCCTCTCTAGTCTCCATACTGCCTTCCAGCCTCCCCACAGTTCCATTGCTGTACACCGCCTTTCCCACCGACTGAGGAGATATATTTTCTCATAAACATCTCTTTCCAGCGTGGGCTGTGTTCCTCTGAGCCCCCTGTGGTTTGGGGTCACGCGATTTCCCCAAGTTGGACACTGACTCACTCCGCAGGGAACTGTGGGTATATCTCGGGTCCCCAGTCCCAGGAGCAGGGTCCCAGCAGCACATGGACTGCTCTGTGTCATTCGGATCCTCCCGTTAAACAAGTTCAGAAGAGCCAGCATGTCAGAAATAATAGCTGCGGGGCACACCAGGGACCCCACTCAGTGACACACGTGTGCACATGTGCATGCGCACGCACACGCAAGGTACTTGGAGTGTAGCTCAAGCTGCTTGGGGAACTTAGGTTCAGGTGATTATGGGGGCTGTAGGTGCTGTGTGCCCATGCCGCCCAGGGGCAGGCAGGAGCAGATCAGGCTGTGTAATGTGCCAAGTGGGCAAACTGCTCTAATGTTCTAATCTTAAATCCAGTGGAAGCTTTTTCCACACTACCAAGAAGCCAAGCCACGGGCCTGGGTCACTCTAAGTCCACTAAGTCAGGGAGGTAACCAGGCCCAACCCCTTGTCAGTAATGCACTCCTCAGTCCCAGGGCCCTTCCTGCCACCCTGCACCTCCCTAATGGGGGTCTCCTGTAATCACACAATCCCTTCTCCACCCCTGTGAGCAGCCAGGCTGAGGATCGAGCACAGTGCCCCCGAGGTGGAGGGTTCTGCAGCTGATAGGGGGCAGCCACAGACAGCTCCACTGACCCCCAGCTTCCTGGGTCCTGATGGCCAACTCAGACCCCTCCTTTTTCCCTGTGAGCAGCATTTATGTGCCAGTGCTGAGGCTAGAATTCAAGGCCTCATGCATGCTTGGCTTTTTTGCTCAAGGCTAGTGCTCCACCACTTGAACCACACCTTCATACCTAGCTTTTTGCTGATTAGTTGGAGATAAGGGTCTCACAGATTTGTCTGCCCAGATTTGTTAGCCTCTCAGGCAGCTAGGATTTGTAAATTATATTAAATAGGTAGATTTCATTAGGTAGCCAATGAAGAGAACACCACGCACTATTCAGGCAGGAAAAGAAGTTTATTTACCAAACTGCTGCCCCCTCCAAGCATGGAGGGAAACATGGCTAAAAAGGAAGGGGGGGGGGACTCACTCCTGGGCCAGGACTTACCTAGGTCAGGGACAGGAAAAGGTGTGGCCACACTGGATCTGAATGTGACCTCAGGATCTAGGACCCTCCTAGGGTCAGATGGGAGGCATGTGACCAGAGGTGGCCCAGCATGTGACCTAGCAGAGAAGATGACTGCTTCCAGGTCTGCCAGGTACCTAGGTAACAGATACTGGGTGGAGACTTAGCCAAGAGGGAGGGAGGTGTCCCTGTGCAGACCTTACAGGATTCAAATGAGTTCCTGGCTGGCATGAGTAGTAAGAGCCAGCTCAGGCCAGCATGTGGACGGAGCGCCAGGCTTCGAGGGCGTGCACAGCAGCCCCAAGGCGGGGGCACCGGGTCAGATGCGCGGGCCTCCGCACGGGTACCAGGGGACAGGCCTGCACCCCGCTCTCCTGCACAAACTGGGGCCTGGGTGGAGCTCTGCATGGGGCGGCCGGTCTGGCCAGGGCCTCCCGTGTCCAGCCGGGTCTGCGCCAGCCTGGCTCCCGCTCGGCCTGGGCCACACACCCAGCCCCGAAGCCATGCTGGCCACAGCCTCCGGGAGTCGGGGCCTGAGGCCGTAGTGTGAGCGAGCTCGGGGCTGACAGCCTGAGGACGCAGAGCCCAGGCAGGGTTCCCGGAAGGGGGACAGGGCGGCGCGGGGCCGAGACTGTCCCGCTGGCCACCGAGGCAAGGTCCTCCAGTCCTCCAGCGTCCAGAGGGGCCCGGAAGCACATGCGGCGGGAGGGCACTTCCGGCCGGGCTCCTCCCGTGCTCACAGTGTGCGCAGACGATGCCCCCTCCAACGCCAGCGCCGGGCCCTGCCTGGGGCAGCCCCCCTCCGCCAGCCGCGGTGCTGCCCTGCCCCCCCCTGCCCTGGGAACCCCAGATGGCCCAGCACCCCCAGCTCAGAGCCGGAGAAGAGGGAGATGCTGGGCTCCATCCAACCTAGGAAACGAACAGCCGGGTCCTCCGAACGAGGAAGGAAGAGGGGTCCCATAATGGCCCCCATGAGTGCGATGAGTGTCTCCCTCACTGTAAGGTCGCTCGGCCCCCGGTGAGGGCACTGGCCAGTGCGCGCCGCCCTCCAGCCCCCAAACACCGGCTTTATTTGCGGGGTTCTCCCTACAGCCCACTGGGCCCAAACCCTCTACCCTCTACCCCGCCAACCCTCCATCCTCAAGCAGGAGCGTGGTCCTCCCAGCCTGGTCCGAGAGGCTGCTGCGACCTGGGTTGGGCCTCTGGGCCTGCGCGCCTGGCTTAGGAAGTTCATTCCTCCAGTGGGGACACACCCCCTCCCCCCAGAGTGGCCTGGGTTCCATCAGGAGGCGGCGGCCTCACACCGGAGGGCTGCTCCGTCATACGCCCCTCTGCAGCTCTGACCAGCTTTCTTCATAGCAGGTTGCTTAGCTTTCAGGTCTGCCAAACAGTGCCAGGGAGCAGGCCTCAGGAAGCTGCTCTGAGCACCACGCCCAGCCTTGCCCTCCCTATCTATACCTGGGCCTACTGCCCTGCCATGGCCACCACAGGCCAGTCCTCCCACATCCTCCCTCCTCCCGTGGGAGCGCCTAGAGGCACCAGAGGGCTCCTCAGGCTGGTGTGCCCACTGGGTGGGCCGGTGCCCCGTGCCACCCCCTGCTGGAGCTCCCGGCCTCAGGAAAGAGTGCAGGTAACGTGTAGCATCTGACATCTTTATTTAGGTGGCCACATGGTCCACCCTGGTATCAAAGACCGTTGGTGCTCAGCTCCAAGCCCTGGGGGACGCCGGGCAGTTCTCAGTACTGGCTACCTAAGCAAGGCCTCCTATGTACCCCAAAAATGCTCTGCTGAGGGGTTTGGGTGCAGGTAAGGCAGGCTGCCCTGTCCAAGCCCAAAAAAGAAGCTGGCACTGGGACACGCTCCCGGGCGGTCGCCTCCGTCGTGTGCCTCGCGCGTCTCGGCCAGTGCTTCCCAGGCTCCGGGTCAGCGGCGTCGGCCTTCTGTCCCCAAGGGGACAGGTGAAGGCCGGAGCTCAGCGCACTCCTAGTCACCGGAGACGCCCCCTCAGACCATCCCTCACCCGTGCCATGGTCCTGGGTGTTGGGAGGATGCAGGGGTGGGGGACTGGACAGGACATCGGCACCCACCGCGCGGCTGCTCGGTCACCACCAGAGTGCTGGCGCCTTCTCGGACGCACATGCCTTCTTGCGTCTGAGGCCATCCGTGTCTGGCTGTGCAGCTGTCCTCAGACTAGCCCCCGAGGCCTGCAGCAAGCGGCGGGCCAGGCTGAGGCTACAGGAAGGCACTTGAAAAGCAGGAGGCTGCTACAGAGTAGCAAGGCCTTAAGCCAGCAGTCACTCGGTCCAGCATCCCGGGACCGCAGCAAGTGTGGCAGGGCCTTCATCCACTACTCCGGGCTTTGGGCACCTGAGGACTCAACATGGCGAGAGCCTCTACACGTGTGCCAAGTGCAGCAAGACCTTCAGCCAGGATCACAGAGGCTGCACGGTCACAGCAGGCGCGGCCCACGCGCAAGCTTCCATCGGATCCCGAGCCTGGCGGCCGTGCGGGGCTGCAGCTAGAGAAGACTCCTGGCGGGGAGGCAGACCTGCAGCCGCCCTGCGCCCACGGCCGGTTCAGCTGCGAGTGTGCTGGGCACTGGCTAGGATGGGCCAGGGTCCGGCTCTGCATCATGCACCCGCACAACGCATCTGCCTGCCCAGCCTCCGGCGCTGCTTCAGTAGTGACAGAGCTCGCTTAGAACTGGAAGTGCTCATCCCCCTCCTCCAGGGCCCAGGCGAACCTTTCCCGCTGCGCCCTGCTGTAGACCTTCTCCACAGGCACCCCGAACCTCCTACACCTGCGGGACATCAGCCACATCCTGCGTGAAGGCCAAAGCCAGGAAAGAGAGCAGCCCCTGTGCAGGGGACCAGAGACCCCGAGCACCCACCAGCACACCAACCCCGCTGGCACTGAGGCCACAGCCTGGGCATCCTCAGGCCCCCACTCCCAGTGGGTACTGGGTGACCCCATGTCCCCAGCTCTGCCCGCCCCACCCCAAACCATCCTAAAGCTCAGGGAAGGGAAGACACGGGCCTCCGCACCCAGGACAGCACGTCCTTGGGCCCAAACCAGGTCCTCTTGGAAAAGCCAGACCACACCAGGCACTGTGGCCTGAGGCCCACGCACCAGGCAATGCTGATCCGGGGGTCCAGGTAGTTGAGCTTGGACGTGCCCAGCGCCACCTGCTTGTTCTCGTCCTTAGCCGTGGCCTGGGCCCGCGCCTGCGCCAGCTGTCTGCTCAGCCGCTGCAGCCGCTGCTGCAACAACCTGGCGGAAGACAGGAGGCCCAAGACCTGCACCGACCTCCCCGCCCGGCCACAGCTGCCCCGGGCAGAGGCAGGAGGCCACAGATCAAAGCCCAGCAGTCCTGACCAGCAGCCACATCAGACGCACAGCACAGCTGCCTGCACCCTCGGGGCTGCAGGGTGGGAGGGGCGGCTGCAGGGAGGGGGCACTGGGGATGCAGCAGACCAGGACAGAGTGGGGCCAGGGCCTGTGGCCGAGGGCCTGAGGACATGCTCAGCCCTCTTTCTACTAAGTGCAGCAGCGCAGGTTCCTTCCTGCTTTTTAATGCAAAGCTGCATCCTGTAAACAGGTACTCCTTTAACCCTTTGCCTCTGCCAAGCCACCCTGCCGACAGCCACATCAGCCTGGGACCCAGGCCGGGGTCCTGTGCAGAGACACCTGCAGGGGCTTTGCTCATATGAGCCTCGGCTCCAGGGCTGACACGAACCAACACCAGGACCTGAGACCAACATCAGACTTATGCCCACTTGCAGGGAGACAGAGCACCGGAGACACACAGGGTACTTCTCGGCACCCACACTGGAGCCGGAGCTGACCGCCTACTGTGATCCACCCGCCCAGCGCCTCCTCCACACCCACAGGTCACAGTCCACAGCGGAAGAACTGCGAGAACCCGGACAGACCTGTACCAAGCGAACCTGCTCTAAAGATTCAACCACAGCCCGATGGACGTGGGCTTGCTTTCCCAAGAATAGACAATGGTGGCCACACCTCTGGTGATGAGGAGGTGCCAGAAAACCATGCCACACACAGGGAGCAGCCCGCGGGAGGCCAGGGCTGCCCGGGGTTCCCCACCGTTTCTGTCCACAGTAGGAACAGCTTGTGCCCTTAAGAGCCACAGAACGATAGCCGGAAACAAAAACACTGCAAAGGAAGGCTGACCCCCCACCCCCAACGCTGGGGCTCCAGGGTCAAGGCGCTGCCCCCACGCACCTCCTGCACTTGCTGTCCCCTCCGGTCCTGGGGTCCGCCATGGCCCTCTGCAGCTCCTCCTGGGCCTCAGCCACCTGGGCCTCCTTTGCCTCGATCTGAGAAGAAACGGGTCAAGGCAGGGCCTCTCCTGTACCACCCAGACCCGCCCTGAGGGACAGCCTCCACGGGTCCTCACCAGACCTGCCCTGCAAACACTCCACCCCTTTCTGCATCCTGGCCACCTGCGCAGGGAGGGGTTGGCTACACCTGAGCTGCCCCCCCAGGCAGCTCTGATTCCTGGGAGCACCTCTGCCCCCTTCCAGGCCCCCCCACTGTCCCCTTCCAGGCCCCCCCACTGCCCCCTTCCAGGCCCCCCTGCCCCAGGGGGCGGGCGAGAGGTGCAGTGTAGCCTCCACACCTTCCTGCGGAGCGCCTGCATGGAATTTTCAAAGCTCCTGGGAGTGGCGCGCTGGTGGTTGCAGAGGACGGCCACCGCCCGGTTCGCCCGGCTGTAGGCCAGGACCTTGTCGGCCTGGCTGTCTGTAGCTGAGAGACAGCAACCGTCAGTCGCCCTGTCTGTCCACCTGGCCTGCGTTTTGTCTGAGCTGCACCGGCCTGGCCCATCTTTCTGACAGTCACAGGCCAGGACTCTGGCAGTGGTGGGCACCCGGTAGAGCCCATTGCCAGCGGGGCACGGGGGGGAGCTAGCGGAGCCGGGGGTGGGGGCAGAGGGCAGGCGGGGCAGCAGTGAGGGCCCCGGGGGGTCTGGGGACCCTAACACAAGCCCCTCATCACCACCCAGACCCCAGGGCCCGGCCTCACTGCTGACATCCTCCCACACATGCCACCAGGAAATGGGCTGGGGACATCCAAGTCCCTCCGGAGACACACACCGCAGGCGGACGCCCAGCAGGGCACCCCAGACCCCAGCAGCCGCACCCCACCAGCTGCATGGCAGTGTGGGGAAGCGGGCTCCTCTGCCCCCATCTTTCCTCCGGCTGTGGGGTCCCTGGCCCCCCAAGGGCCTTGTCAGGAGCCCTCGGACGCTGATCGGACCCAACCCTGCGACCAGCCTGGGCTCACAGCACACTGGCCTGGGCCAGCCGTCCACCCGCGGCACGCCTGCACCCCACGCCCCAGGGCCCATGCCACCTGAGGACAGGCTGCCCGGGAGCGGGGGCTGGGGAATGGCTTTGCTGTGCCAGGTGAAGGGAAAGGGCACATTCTGGAAACTTCTTTGCCCCACTGCACTTCTAAATTAGGGAGGAAAAAGAAGTCAGGGCGCCGCTGGCAGGGGGGAGGGGCAGAGGCCCATCAGGACCCTCCAAGAGCCAAGGAGTGGAGAGGGACCAGCCTGCAGGAGGCAGGGTGGAATCTGCTGAGGGCCCTAAGAGTGCGGGAAGAGGGGAATGGGCAGCTCACACCCTGGACCGCCCTGCCGGGCCAGTGCCTCCAGCAGAACTTGGCCACAGGCCTTCAAGCATCCTTCCACCACCCAGATGGCCAGGCACCCAGCTCCAGCTCCACGCATGCCCAGTCCAGGCCTTGCGTCTCAGTGACTCCCAGGGACCAGCCTGGCCTGTCATCGGGATGCCCATGCCCATGGTGGGCTCTGCTCACCGCGGGTCAGCACCCGCAGCTGCTCCTGCAGCGTGACAGAGGCGTTGTACGTCCGGAACACCTTCGCCGTCAGCCCGTGCATCAAATGCTGCAGGTACTTGTTCAGACTGGAGGTCTGGGGACAGAAGACACAGGGGATCATCAACAGGGTTCCTTGGGGATAGTTCCCCAGGCCACTCCTGGCCTGGGGGCAGGGAGGGGACAGGCAGAGCGAGAAACCTGCTTATGTCAAGAGCACGGCTCCTCCCCCCCAAGGGGCTCTGTCCAGCGCAACTGCACCAAAAACGCAGGCAGCCGGGTGGCGCCGGCGCTTACACCTGCAATCCTAGCTACGCTGGAGGCTGAGATCTGAGGATCACCGTTCAATGCCACCCAAAGCAAGAAAGACTCTTAGCTCCAACTAAACAACAAAAAGCTGGGAGTGGAGCTGCAGCCCAAGTGGTAAGAGTGCTAGGCTTGAGTGAAGAAGTTCAGAGACAGTATCCAAGCCCTGAGTTCAAGACCCACTACTGGCACACAGACACACACACACACACACACACAGTCTTACGGTCAATCTGTCGAAGAGGCTGTCCCTGGGCTTCTTGTTCTTCATGAACAGCTGCAGGTTCCTGAACACCTGAGACACAGGAGAGATTAACCTGCAGCCACAAGAAGATGCCTGAAGCTGAAGTCACTGAGGAGGGACAGGTCTCCTGGAGACAGGAAAAGACACAGACCAGGCCCAGAAAGAGCTGTGTGCCTCAGCCGCCAGGCCCAGAAAGAGCTGTGTGCCTCAGCCGCCAGGCCCACACCCGAGCCCGTGGCCCTGCCATCTTTCCCACCCCGCCTGGCCCCGCTGATGCATCCAGGGGCCGTGTGCTCCAGGCTGGAGCGTGGCTCCTGAGCCCCACGGACCCGCTGTGCAGCCTGCCCCAGCCAACCTCTGCCACCAACTCCGTCCGTCTGAGCCCTGCCTGTGACCAGGCGAGCCACACGAGATCCATCAGGGCTGTGCCGGGTTCCCTCCACCCGTCCCTCCCGGGAGCACGCACCGTCCTCCCCACCAGCCCAAACCCCGGGCAAGCACAGCTGCGTGGCCCTCCTCCACTTTGACCCATGACTTCCCAAGACGGCTCTTACTTGGCTCTTCCCTCCCAACTGAGACTGCACTGAACACCCACGTGTTCGAGGTCACGGGGCAGGGCGCTCACCGGCTCCTCCACTGACACGAGCTGATGGTAGCGGACAGAGTCCTTTCCCAGGAAATCCAGCTCCACCACGCGCTCGCGGCCGGCAGCCCACGCATGCAGCCGCACGTGCTCCACGCGGAGGGAGCAGCAGCCCACCGTGTCCGCCGTCTTGTCCTCCTTCTCGTGTCCTGCTCGAAGTGCCAGCTGGGCAGGAAGAGCCATCAGAGCAGTGGCACACACATGCACACATGCACACACGTGTACACACATGCACGGGAAGAACCATCCAAGTGGTGGCACACACATGCACTCACATGCACTCACACACCTACACAGGAAGAACCATCACACACATGCATGTATGCACTCACACGCACGTGTGCACACACACACACACTGCAGAAACCCCCAGTGGTTCAGTACACCCCCACCTTGTCGATGAAATACAGGGCCACTGCCCACTGCCTTGTCTTCACCTCTGGGGATTCCCAGGCGGCCCGGTACTGAGCGCGGATCTCATCCACAAGCCCCCCAAGGCGGCGCGCGACCTCATATTTTTGTCGGTCCTTTTCCCCCTAAGCCAAAGGAAGAAGGAGGGAACTCTCGTCCCTGGCAGCCGCACCAGTGGGCAGCCACACAGCAGAGTCCAGGCACAGGAGATGGACAGTGACAAGGACGGACGGCCCGGGCTTCCGTGGCAGACGTGCTGCGGCTGGGCCCGGGCCCTGAGCCTGGCTGGGCCATGTGGGAGGCGGCGCCCTCCGCCGGCCTCTCTGGAAAGCATGACCCAGGGGCGCTGCAGGCTCGTGGAGCGGGGCTTCCGGAAGGCCCCCAGCCTCACCTTCAGCTTGGAGCTGGGGTTCAGAGCGATGTACTTGGTGCGGTTCTGCACATTCTCCGTCCACGCCGCCAGCCACGTCACTGTGGTGTCTGAGCACACCTCTCTCCACTGGTGGCCCACTGGGGGCCCGGGGACGGCGTCCCTGCAGGACAGCGGCAAGTAGTACATGCAGAGTGAGCATCTGTACACTTCCCCTCGCCGTGGCCGTGGCCTGTGGCAGGGCTCCGTGTGGCCTGCCTGGCCTCAGGGCAAGTACCCCACTGCTCAGAAAAATCTCCACAGGTATACACACACACACTTGCGAGCACACACACACAAGCGTACGTGCACACACACACATACACACACAAGCGTACATGCACACGTGACCAGCAGCGACACAGCATCACCACCAGCTCTGCAGGGAGCTCTGCGGCTTCAGCTCCACCACTGCCCACACCAACCCTGACCCGGAGCTGTGGGGCCGGCATCTGGGAGCGGGTTTGCACAGCCTTAAGTAACAGCAGGCCAGCACCCCCAAAGCACGGTGCACTGAACACACAGGGAGCCCCTGGAGGAAGGGCCCCACAGCCAGCAAAATGACACAAGTTTCTTTTTCTTTTTTGTGGGGGTCTGGGTTTAAACTCAGGACCAAGTTACTCTCCTTTAGCTTTTTTGCTCAAGGCTGGTGCTCTACCAATCGAACCACAACTCTACTTGTTTGGTTTTCTCCCTGGTTAATTGGAGATAAAGGTCTCATAGACTCTGCCGGGACTGTCTTCTAGCCTCGAGTTGAGATCTCAGTCTCTCGGGATCCCAGGCATGAGCCACCGGCACCAAGAACTTTTTTTAACTTTTTTTTTTTGCCTTTTCTTTTCTGGTACTGGGGATGGAACCTAGAATGTTGCATTGGTAGGCAAGCTCTTTGCCACTGAGCTACATCCCAGTCTCCAACTCAAGAATTCTGATGGGAGCTGGGCACTGGTGGCTCACACCTGTAATCCTACATACTCAAGAGACTGAGATCTGAAGATCGTGATTTGAAGCCAGCCAGGGCAGGAAAATCCATGAGACTCTTACCTCCACTTAACTACCAGGAAATTGGAAGTTGCGCTGTGGCTCAAGTGGTAGAGCTCTGAGCCTTAAGCTGAAGAGCTGCGGGCAGCGCCGGGCCCCAATGAGTGTAACCGGCGCCACGCCCGGGCTGGTGCTGACGGGCACAGCACTGGCCCCAGAGCCCCATGGTGCTGAGATGCAGGGGACGGGGTGCAAGAGCAAAAGAGAAGAGCAAGATGAGGTGACCAAGGTCCAGCCTGGCCCGCGGTGCCCCTACCTGCTACAGTTGATGACCACGTCCTCGGGCAGGACCCTCCTCTTCACCATGCCCATCTTGGGGTGCTCACCACGGCCGCAGAACAACCCAGGAGGCTCCATCTTGAAATTGCCAATTTTCTCCCTGTGGCCATCAAGAATACAGTAGCCAAACTCCTGCTGAAGCTTTGCTGCCTCTTCTTTTAGTTTCTGGTTTAAGAAAACAGTATGGAGATCAGTATGAGAAGGTCAGCTAGATCATTCAGCCCTGGCTCTCAAGGAGGCTGGGGGCAAGGGGCCCTCCCTCCTCACCCCCCACCCCCCCAGCCTCTGCTACGCATCCCATCAGAGGGAACATGGTGACACTCAAGGGAGTGAGTCCCTCACAGCCCTGAAAGGGTCAGTAAACCAGGAAGCGCCCGACACCCCCACACCTCTGCCTCAGACCCCTCGCCCGCCCACTTCTTTCGGATGTACTCCAAGAAAATGGAACTGCATCTGATCGCATTTAAAGGTGTGAAGATGGAGTGCAGTTCGGGGGCCTGCCAGAGGTCCTCAGGCCTCAGGCTGGGTGGAGGGCAGCTTTGCGTGCCAGGTACCCCACCTGCTTCTCCTCCTTGGGCAGGGCTTTCCGGGCTGCAGCCTTGTCCACGAAGTGTCTGTGGATCTCCGTGAAGTCACACTTGTCCAGGTGCGTGATGAGCAGCCGCTCCTCCAGGGTCATCTCCTGGGCCGGAGACGTGCTCTCAGCCTCTCCCGCGCACACTCACCCCGCAGGCACCCCACGGGGCCACTGCCCAGGCACCTCACAGCATCCAGGAGCAGGAGGCGGTCAGGCGACCGGGCCTCCAGCAGCTGTGGGAGCAGGGCCCGGTGGACGGGGCACTGGCACAGGCCACACGCACATGACCTCTGCTGGGAGCAGCTCCCCCAGGGGCCGCCCGCAATGCAGGTGTACACACGGCACACACCACTACCAGGATTGGGGTGCACGCGGCACAGCCCGGATTTCAGGACTGACGCATGGTCTCTGAGCCTGGCTCCTGCAGGAAGCAACCCAGACCTGCGGCATTCCAAATGCCACTTCCAAGAGGGTGCCCGGTCCTGCCCTTCCTCAGAACCCAACCCCCACCCTACGCCTCCTCAGGTGAGGCTCCAGCACACACACCAGACGCACAGGACCGCACAACAGAGCCCCCACAGCCTGAGAACCCGTATCCCCACTCCCACTGCAAACCCACTGGCAGAGCACCAACCCTCCGACAGCGAACCCAACCTCCTGGCACTAATCAAGTCTGCGCCCCTTCTTCCTGACCAGAGGGGTCAGGGTGGGTGAGGTAGGGAGGCTAACAGCGCAGAAAGGCTCAGGCCCAGGCCCTGAGATTAAGCCCCAGGACTGGCAAAAAAAAAAAAAAAAGTATGAAAAAGCAGATAGGCCATGTGCACACAATCAGACGGCATTACGGTCTCTGAGGAGGGACAGTCATGGTGCAAGCCCTGGAACAGGTGCCAGACGGAACAGCGCACGGCTGGACTCAGGAGGAAGGGAGCCGAGGAGAGGCGCAGAGCAACGGAGAGGAAGGGCAAACAAGGCCAGGCCTGACTCTCACTGTGCATGCATGAAGTTGGAACTGGGACACTTTAGGAGACAGGTGGGGTTCAGATCGGCGGGCAGGGGAAGAACGGAATGGACCACAATGCACTGCACACGTACACGGACATGTTAATTGAAGATACTAAAAAAATGCCTCTGGCCTCCTCCAACATTCCTCCTCAAGAGCTGGCCTGTCCTGGACGTGCTGTGGGAGGTGAGAGGTCACAAGAGACACGGCTCTGCTCCCTCTGCCCGTCCTGGCACAGCCCATGCTGCACACACTCATGGCCGCTGCGGGCTGGAAAGGTGCAGGGATGGCAGCTGGCTGGGCACCACCGCCTCACGTCGCACCAGCCGGCCTGGGGCAGCCGCGCCCACACCCGCCCCTCCCCCCCCCCCCCACCTACCTTTCTCCAGTCCTTGAAGAAGTTACTTCGGAAAACTTCCTTTGTTGTATATTCATGATGCAACATCTTCCCATAGAAAGTGGCCACCTCCTCGGCTGCCAAGCTCAGCGGCACAGGCCTTCCTGCGGGCATCCGGACGCACGCGGCTGAGGCATCCCCAGGGCCGCGGCGCCGGGAGGCGGCACCCAGAGCACACCCTCTCTCACCATCGTAGAAGAGGCGCACTCCGTCAGGAAGCGGCTCGTAGGCAGGGGCGAAGAGCGGGCCTCGGTGCTCCAGCTGCCTCCACTTCGCTCTGCTCTGGCTCTTCTCTTCCCACCTGGAAAGACACGGGTGGAGCACTGTGCTGCACAGCACAGCCACCGGCCAGGCCTGGGATCAGCCTCGTCCACGCTCCGCCTCGCCCAGGGCAGGGACGGAGCCCAGGCATGCACCTGCCCACACCGCCCTACCTGGCACAGGTGCTGCTGAGACAGCCTGGGAGATCTCAGCACAGACAGGAGGGGGCGGGGGCAGGGTTCAGAGACTCCACAGACCCCACAGCGCCCCTCAGTCTGGCTATTCCTGACAGCGGAGCCTTGGAGGTGGGAGTTGAGGGGAGAAGGGCAGGGCCAGCGCAGATGGGTCACCTGCTGGCCTAGGGGAGCAGGGGAGTGGGGGAGGCCAGGGCAGGGAAGCGCTGGGGTGCGCAGGCAACTCCCGCACAGCGAGCCCCCGCTGTCGCCTCCCTACCGGGCTGTCTCCCGACCTCTCTAGGGGCGCCGGGCGGCGGGGCGCACGTCCCCGGCCTCGGTGCCCGGGAGCGGGGCAGCCGCGAGCCGCGGGCCCGCGCCGGAGGCCGTGGCGTCAGCTCCGACCCGGGATCCGGGAACTCGGATCCACAGCGGCTCCCCACCGAGGCCCAGCGAGGCCACCGGCGCGGGCGGCCTCCCGGCCCGGGCGCGGCCCGGTGGCCCCGGGACCCGGCTCCGGGATCGGCTCCAGCGGGCACTGACCCCGAGGCCAGCGCGCTCCAGAGACTCCAACCCCGCTCGCCCGCCTTACCCCGCCCTGCTGGACTTGGGGGCGCCGCGGGAGGCCGGGCGGCGGGGGGCCCCCAGCAGCCGCGCGCGCGCCGCCCTCCCGACACGCAGCAGCGCCTCCGCGTGCATCCGCTCGCTCCGCGCACCCAACGCGGAGAGCTGGGACGCGCGGCCGCGCCGCGGAGCCCCGGATCAAGCCACTTCCGGCCACAGGCCCCGCCCCTCCATAGGGCCCAGCCGCGATACGTCCATGGCCCCGCCCCCAACTGAGCCCCGCCCACCTCGGGGCTCGCCCCGCGGAGCCCAAAGACCAGGCCCCGCCCTACATCAGGCTCCGCCCTACACCAGGCCCCGCCCTACATCAGGCTCCGCCCTACACCAGGCTCCGCCCCCCGCGGAGCCCAAAGACCAGGCCCCGCCCTACATCAGGCTCCGCCCTCCATCAGGCTCCGCCCCCGCGGAGCCCAATGCTCAGGCCCCGCCCCGCCCCGGCCCGCGCCTGCCGGCTCCCAGGCCCCGGCCGCCCCGGCCGCCCCGGCCGCCCCGGCCGCCCCGGCCGCCCCGGCCGCCCCGGCCGCCCCGGCCGCCCCGGCCCCCCCCGGCCGCCCCGGCCCCCCCGGCCGCCCCGCCAGCCCCCCCGGCCGCCCCGCCAGCCCCGCCCCGCCCCGCCCCGCCAGCCCCGCCCCGCCCCGCCAGCCCCGCCCCGCCCCGCCCCGCCAGCCCCGCCCCGCCCCGCCCCGCCCCGCCAGCCCCGCCAGCCCCGCCCCGCCCCGCCCCGCCAGCCCCGCCCCGCCCCGCCAGCCCCGCCCGCCCCGGCCGCCTCGCCCCGCCCCGCCCCGCCCGCCCCGCCCCGGCCGCCCCGCCCCGCCCCGCCCCGGCCGCCCCGCCCCGCCCCGCCAGCCCCGCCCCACCCCGCCAGCCCCGGCCGCCTCGCCCCGCCCCGGCCGCCTCGCCCCGCCCCGGCCGCCCCGCCCCGCCCCGCCTCGCCCCGCCGGCCCCGCCCCGCCCCGGCCGCCCCGCCCTGCCCCGCCCCACCCGCCCCGCCCCGCCCGCCACGCCCCACCCGCCCCGCCATGCCCCGCCCCGGCCGCCCCGCCCCGCCTCGCCCCGCCGGCCCCGCCCCGCCCCGGCCGCCCCGCCCCGCCCCGCCCGCCCCGCCCCGCCCCGCCAGCCCCGCCCCGCCCTGCCAGCCCCGCCCCGCCCCGCCCCGGCCGCCCCGCCCCGCCCCGCCAGCCCCGCCCCACCCCGCCAGCCCCGGCCGCCTCGCCCCGCCCCGGCCGCCCCGCCCCGCCCCGCCCCGCCCCGGCCGCCCCGCCTCACCCCGAGCCCAGGCCTGCCCCACCCACATCCCACAGCGGCTGGTGGCGGCGGTGGGCAAGGGACGGCCAGCGGTCAGCCCCCGCTGTGGCCCGAGGGCCGGTCCAGCCAGACCACATCTCTGTCTGCAGATGATAGCACCCAGTACTTAGAAAATCCCAAAGAGTTACAAAATAAACAACTTGTAGAACCAGGCACCGGTGGTTCACACCTGTCATCCCAGCTACTCAGGAGGCTGAGATCTGAGGATCTCGGTTCAAAGCCAGCCTGGGTAGGAAAGTCCATGAGACTCATCTCCAATAAACCACCAGAAAACCAGAAGTGGCAAAAGAGTACAGAGACAGGGCCCAGGCCCCCAAGTTCAAGCCAAAATGACAAAACAAACAAACAAAGACTAATAGAGCAGGGACCTAGAGCCAGTGGCTCATGCCTGTTATCCTAGCTCAGGAGGCTGAGAGCTGAGGATCCAGATTCAAAGTCAGAGTGGGCAGGAAAGGCAATGAGAGTCTTATCTCCAATAAACCCCTCAGAAAACCAGAAGTGGTGCTGTGGTTTAAGTGGTAGAGCACTCACCTTGAGCTGAAGAGCTCAGGGACAGTGCCCAGAGACCAACAACAACAACAAAAAAAAAGAAAATTCAAGATGCAGGGTACCAGATCAAAGTACAATCACCAGTTTTGGATTTCTAGACCCACTATATACAATGAAAAAATAAAATTAAAAAAAAATTCACATTTCCAACATAAAAAAATTACGGAGGCAGGGGTTTGGGAATGTGGCTTAGTGGTACAGTGCTTGCCTTGCATGCACGAAGCCCTGGGTTCCTCAGTACAACATAAAAAAAGCCAGAAGTGGCACTGTGGCTCAAGTGGTCAAGTGCTAGCCTTGAGCAAAAAAAGCTCAGGGACAGAGCCCAGGCCCTGAGTTCAAGCCCCAGGACTGGCAAAAAAAAAAAAAAATTACCAGGGGGTAGAACACTTGCCTAGCATGCTCGATGCCCTGGGTTTGATATCTAACATTGCAAAAAGTCAAATAAAAAAAATTTACCAATAAACTTAGCCAACCACACAATTTAACTCAAGCTCAGGTGCCATGTTGGATTTTTCTTTTTAGGCTTCAAACTTTCAGAAAGAGTTTAAGGCAAGGGCTGATGATCCAGGCTGCTCTAAAATGAATCTGCCATTCCTTTAAAGATCGTTCTGGTTCCTCCCACTGTTGACATTGCTGAGATCAATCTGACAGGTGTTCAATGTGCTCCTTTTTGCTGTCTTGTGAGTGTTAGCCAGTGTTCCAAAAGCCCAAGGATGGCTGGGGAGAGCCTACCCCCTTTCTGGTACCCAGTGTGTGTTCCCTTCCAAAAGCAGCAAAGAGACAGCTGCAAGTGACAACCTGGAAGATCAGCATGCATCCCTTGGGACTGGACGTCCACTGTGTTAGTAAGTGTAGGAAAGTACTGTGTCTTTAATGGCTGAAAACTCAGTGTATGCTGTGAATTTGTTGGTTTGAAACATTGAAACTTTTTCATTAGACAATGTTTACATACCTCACCTGAAGAACCTTTGAGAGTGTATATAAAATCTTAAAATATATTAAGTTGCTGTTGTTGTTGTTGTTTGCCAGTTCCAGATTTTTTTGTGTATGTGGTGCTGAGGAATGGAGCTCAGGGCTTCATGCATGGGAAAGCACTCTACCACTGAGCCACGTTCCCAACCCCATAGCTCACACCTTTAATACTGGTTACTCAGAAGGCTGAAATCTGAACGCGCACACGTGCACACACGCACAGCAGTAATAGGGCTGGAACTCAGGGCCTAGGCACTGGCCCTTGTCACTTAAGGCTTGCACTCTACCACTCCAGTCATAGCTCTAACTTCTAGCTTTTACTGGTTAAGTAGAGATAAGGGTGTTTCTCAGATTTGTCTGCCTGAGTTGGCTTTGAACTGTGATCATGGCTCCCGGGTGGTGGGTGGAGACTCGCAGGCCCACCGAGGAGTTTCCCTTTCCAGGCCCCCTCTCTCTGTCCGCTTGCCGGCTCTTCTGTTTTAGAAGCCGCTGCGTCGGTACTCTCAACCTCGTGCTCCACCCAACCTTTCATTGTTCATCTCTTCACTCTCCTTTCTTTTCCTGTGATTTTTCTTTGCAGTCCTGGGGCTTGAACTCAGGGCCTGGGCTCTGTCCCTGAGCCTCTCTGTGCTCAAGGCTAGTGCTCTGGCACTTGAGCCACAGCACCAACTTTGGCTTTTTCTGAGTAGTTTATTGGCGGTAAGAGTCTCACAAACCCTTCTGCCTGGGCTAACTTGGAACCGTGATGCTCAGACCTCAGCCTCCTGAGTAGCTGGGATGACAGGCGGAGCCGCTGGCGCCCGGCTTAATTTTGTTGTTGTTGTTGTTGCAGCTGAACCACGAGTCCAACCCCTCCTGACTCTCTGGGGGACCCTGCAGCGCTGCCTCTCACACACTCCTGGCTCTTGGGCGGGCGCCTGAGAGACGCCCCTCATGTCCACTGAAGGTCGCCCTTGTCTCCTCTGCAGGGCCTCCCTGCGGCCTCCCCCCCCCCCCCCCCCCCGCCCCTGCCCAGCCTAGGACAGATCACACCAGGAGCCGCCTGTCCCAAGCAGATAAACCGGGTACCTTCCAGCTTGAGTGGAGTCACCACAATGCACCCTCCTTCTGACCCAATTTGTGGGACTCACACCTGCCCTCTGCTGGGTCCCCATGCAGTACTGGCTCATGGACTTTTAGTCCTGTCTCCCGCACGCTGGCCCTGCTCTTCCACACTAGAACAAGCGCTCTGCTCTGGATACTGTGCTTTTCTCATCCTGTCCTCTTCCACGCGGCCCTGACGGGACGTGGGACTGTGCCAAGCTGGAACGACAGTGCCCGTGGCACTCTTGTCGGCAGGCCCTGGCTACCAAGCCAAACACCGATTCACAGCCACACTGTGTCACCAGCTGGCGCGCTCTCTCCAGGCCTGTCCTCCTGTGCAGACCCGAGGGGGCACGCCCCCCCAGCCTCACACCCCCCAGCTGTCGCGCACACCCACGCAGCAGCGAGCTGCCAGGCCTCGGGCGGCGCTCCCACACCTCTGGCTGGCACTTCAGCAGAGTTTTTCTCTGTTTAAAATTAAAATACAGAGAAGGCTTGCATTCATTTGAGTAGTAAAGTTTAGCACCCACGCGAGGCTCTCATGAAATAGACGAGAATACATTATACGGTGCCAGAACACAGAAAGGGGCAGAGTTCACACTCAAAGCATGCTGATAAAGCCAGTCACCAGGGAGAAGGCAAAGCCCCCTCCCAGAGCTTTTCCACACCCACGTGCCACACAGCTGTCCTACACTACTTTTTCTGAAATGAGACACCCGCACCACATAAGCAGAAAACAAAGCCGGAAGTGGC